TGCACAGCAGCACATGGGAAACTCTTGGTTAATTTTCAGCATCAGAGTTCAGCAAAAGTTTAGCCCCTCATATACTCATAGCACTCAGCTCTAACCCTATTTCAGAACATTAAATGGGAGATAGGTTCTCTGATGCACTAATTACAGAGAGATCCCACCTCACTAAATTCACTAATAATACCTGCAGACTAATCACAGAGAGATTTCACCTCTACTCTGCTCCTTCATGTTTTAGTCACTGAACACTCGGGCCACCAACATAACTTAAAGCGGCACTGTCACGCCAAACTTACCTTTCTCCTATTGTTTCCTTTTCTCTTCTTCTCTCAGAATCTGTTCTTTTCTTCCTTTCTGATATAGTTTTCTTTAAACATAAGACAAATTAGAAACTACTTTGTCTTGTGTGTTTTTCCCACATCTGACATTCAAGGATAAGCTTAAGTCTTAAGCTTAAGCATTTCCTGTGTCAAAGAAAGTACTGACCCTTCTCCATGACCCAGGAAATGGAGCTGACTTAGTCTCCTCCTTGTGTCAGAGACTGTCAGGCACAGGAAAAACATAGGAAAAAGTAGTCCCTACCTTGTCTTATGTATTAGAGTAAACTAGATCAGATATAAAGAAAAGAGGAGCAGATTCTGAGAGAGGAAGAGAAGAATAGGAATATAACAATATGAGAAAAGTAAGTTTGGTGTGACAGTGCTGCTTTAAATGGGAGAGCAGAGACAAGAGAGGCCAAAAAAAATAGTCACCACTATAAAAACAAGAAACAGTTATTGTGGCCCAAACATCAGTCATGGGGGTCAAGGGTAGTCACTGTGGACACACTATTCCCCATTATTGACAAGAATAATGCAGCAGGTTGGAAATGATGGAACTGCTTCAGTAAATATACATCAAGCCTCAGCTCCGACTGATCCATACGGTATTGAGTAAAGAATATAAATGAATCAATGTCCTGCTGGGTATTGTAGCTTTATACACAATGATGTTCTAAGTGTTCTGGAGACCAATCAAGTGTACACGTGTATGGTAATGTTGTCAATTTATCTTAATGTTGTTAATCTCCCAAAGCAAGGAAGCTTTACAGAATATTGAATAGGCGCCAGCGTTTAAAGTTGTTTGAAGTTTGTATCAAAGTTAAATATTTGTACTTGAAGTAAAATGTGTGTCTACAAGCATCCAAGCAGCACGCAACCCATCTGCAATCATATAAAGAAAAGTTTAGAATTGTTGAAATGTAAAAGTATACCATTTTCTAAATGACTAAAACTGGATATGATGGGAGCTAAATGTGAGGGTTTACCTGCGGTTAAAATCCAGAGTGCTTACCCTTGCAAAATATCACACCCCACAGTGACTAGTTAGATAAATCACCTGTAGAGTGAATGTGTTAATGGGGGCTGTGCAGGGGGCAGACCCAGAAGCACAGTTTAGAAAAGGGGAAATCCAAATTCAGAGTACAAGAAAAAGCATGCATAAACAACAGTCCATAAATAGATATACAAAATCAAAATTCAGGCGTAGGTAAACGCTTCCAGAATCGGTAACAACAAACGGACCCTAAAGCTGATGAGAGGCAGTGCTTATAGGCCAGTAAATGAGACAGAGATGAGGAAATAGTTGCAGGTGGGTCAGCAGTAGTCCACCCCCTCAGAGATGCAGGCTAAATTGCAAACGAGAGGGACAGATGTCAAACTGCAGTAGTTCACAGGGTAGTGAATCTGACTGGAACACAGTTTAACACAGAACACCTCCCAATAGGGCAGCCTTGCCTGGCAGTCTGCAGAGATGAGGAAAACCCGTGACACTAATCCTTTGTGGTTTTTGTAAAGTCGTCTTTGTTTATAGAAGTGGTGCTATTAAATAGTATTTGTATAAAGCATGAAATTCTCTGTAGTACGTAATGTTTGTACGTATTGTTAAAGGACCACTATAGTGCCAGAAAAACATACTCGTTTTCCTGGCACTAAAGTGCCCTGAGGGTGCCCCCACCCTCAGGGTCCCCTTCCCGCCGGGCTGGATGGAGAGGAAAGGGGTTAAACTTACCTCTTTTTCCAGCACCGGGCGGGGAGCTCTCCTCCCTCTTCTCCTCCTCTTCGGCTGAATGCGCATGCGCGGCAGGAGCTGCGCGCACATTCAGCCAGTCCATAGGAAAGCATTCACAATGCTTTCCTATGGACGCTGGCGTCTTCTCACTGTGATTTTCACAGTGAGAAGCACGCAAGCGCCTCTAGCGGCTGTCAAGAGACAGCCACTGGAGGCTGGATTAACCATATTATAAACATAGCAGTTTCTCTGAAACTGCTATGTTTATAAAAAAAAAAAGGGTTAACCCTAGCTGGACCTGGCACCCAGACCACTTCATTAAGCTGTGCTGCCTACAGTGGTCCTTTAAAGAGTAATTATTAAATTTTCCGATCTGCAGCTCCACGTGTAATGCCAATGAACCATTCAAAATTCAGCTGGCTTTTGCTTACATAATACCATGTCCTCCCATCCTTGGTGTTATGTTAGTGAAACTGGAGAAAATCTCACAAAACAGAGTAAAGTGAGCACTCATAAGTGCATCAGGCAATATGGATAACATGCACTGTAGCTTATGTTCAGCTCTGTGAATGGAAGATCACCTGGGAAATACGCAGTGTTAAAGCATAATATTTACCAGTAAAAACATCAACATTGGAATATTCTCTTTTTCGTATCATTGCTTGAAGGAACTTTCCAGGCACCACAACCACTGCATGTTAATGAATGGTCTAAGAGCCCACTTCCTTACACTTCTACACATATTAAACAGTTTTCAATCATTAAACATAAAACAGAAGTTGAGTTCTCCATGTCCCAGTCTGGCTTCCTCTCGTCTGCTGCTTGTAAATGTGGAAGCATAACCCTGATGATGTATACATGCTAAATTTGAGTTGGTTAATGTATTCATATATTTGGTGTGCACAATGCATATCATGCACAATGTATATCACTTTTGTGTGTCTCACTAAGAGATTCCATATTATACTGAGTGCTTAATACATCAACAATCCATTCCACAGAAAATCTATGTCCGAGCTTACAGAATGAAGGACCAAACACAGGAGAAACAAACGCAAACAGAACAGGTATGTAGGCCCTGAGAATGGCCATTAATCATATTAAATGTATGTAAAAACTGCACTCTTCTTTTGGCATGTCTTATTTTTTTCTGTATTTATTGAATACTACACAAGTTAATATCTAATATTTTTACGAAAACATTTACATCACAGTTTTATATCTTTCCACGTCTCCTTTCTTCAGTTCTTTTATTTTATATTTATTATGTTGCATGCTTTATTTTGTGCTTCTTGTGCAAATCCTCGGTGGGATTCACACCAGATCATTTATTGTTGTCTGGAAGAAGAAGACACATTGTGATCTGTGTATTATTGCAAAGGAGAGTAATCTTCAGTAAGTGACATTATTAATCTCAGCCTGCAGCCTCTCTTATGATTGTATTTTTATATTCCACAATCCATGTACAAGGGACTGCACTTATTCCACAGAGCAAAAACGGGTCCTACCAGACTAGGGCCTTGCACAAATCCCCAACACTAGTAAGCAAACAGGAAAAAGAAGGTCCAGGCATTCCAACATTTGGACACAAATGGGTATTTTTGAAGCTTGAGAAAAACGCATTCAGTTAAAACGGGCTGGAAACTGTGTTCCAAATAAATATGTCTATTTGAGCATCAGGTGCCTGGACTTTCTTTTTCCTGTTTGCTGTTTTATTATTTTTATCTTCCACAGATAATTATCTGAGCAGGTTTATGCCACTGGGCACAGCTCTTGATACTAGTGGAAGTTAATATTAACATGTGAAACAACATAAACATTCTTCTGCTTGTGTTCACATACATCTCTATATAAAAGAAAGATACATGTGAATTTACTATATTTGTTGCAAATCACTAGGCTTTGCAGCTTCTGCAGGGACTTCTGTCCAGTACAGGAAGTAACACCAATCTGATAACTTTATATGGCAAGGAAAATGTGTTGTTTTGGCAGTATATGTTGTTATATTTTTTTATCTGACATTTATTTTTATAGCTTGATCTTATATAGGCTTGCCACTGGAATGTTAAAGAAAAAACATGTTCATTGTTCAATATTTAAACTTGCCTAAAAGAGGATTAAATCAGAATAAATAAGCAGAGGTTTCCTTGACAAATGCTTGCTTGACACTCAGAATTATTATTATAAGCTCATTATTAATATTGGCAATTACAATAAATAATAGCATTAGGGAATATAAATAGCCATGCATTAGGTTTGTACTTCAATACAGATATAAAAATAATTTGTTTCAAATAAATAGTAGTATTGTTTCACATGTAGAAAATATATCATTTGCATTCATATGTATATGACTACTCTAGAAGCAGACAGCATGACAAATATATATCCTGGGGTAACAGCACTGGGTGAAAGTTCACATGAGGACTACATTTCTGCTGAATTATTTTGACAAGGATGCCCTGTAAACATGCGTTAGTATCAGGTGAGAATACTTGCAAGATACATTCTCATTCTGCGGAATTAGAAGAAAGAAAACAGCTAAAAGTCTGTTAAGATTCACATGTAAAAAAATAAAACAGAACTGTTATGTTCATATTCATCAGTATTAATCTTGGAAAATGATACAGGATCTCATTTATTGACAAATTGGACCTTACTTAGTATTCACTATCTCTATGTCTGTCTTGCTTCCTATCCAGGATTCAACCTGATTCGCAGATTCTCCCTACAGAAAATGAGCTCAGTGAAAAAGATTAAGAACCCCAAAGGGCCCATTATCATGAGACTAGGAGGTGCTCGGCTGGTGGAGTCAACTTCGTAAGTCCAGAGTTAATAAGTTTCAAATATTTTCAATGCCTGATATAAAGCCATGGCAACAAATGGGTTGGTCATAATATACACACGTTCTAGAGCAATTATGATATTGGGCAGACTCGGAACCACTCTACATTAGGAGATTTTAATAATAACTTCCTACTGCTGCCATTCTGAATGATGTGTCCCTCTCGTTACTGATGTTGTTAAGGAGAATACCCTTAAGGAAGCTATTTGAAAGACTCGTAAACCCTTTCTAATCCTGGAAAGTGAGCCTCAGGCACATAATCATCCTGGGCACCCGTCCAACCAATTATGCAACACAGAGCTGCAAGCGTCTTCTTTTTTTTTCTTCTTCTTCTTTTTGTTGGCACTTCTCCCAGAAAGGCCTGCGTGGCTGGGGTGGTAGAAAGAGAGAGTCAGGCAAGATTTGTAAAATAGCCTTCTGTTTTCTAGTGGTCCAGTTATGACATCAGCATGCAAGAGGGAGATGAGATCACACATATCTCCACCAAGAAACTGTTTAATGGCAATCAAAATACAGCTTTAGTTTTCCTTCTCTAATTGTTGCGTTTATATCAATTGTAACTCTGTTCTCATCCCTAGTATGTGCCAGAGGAGGATGTCATTTGTTTTCTAGTTTATGCATTAAGGATCAAAGTCGATATAAATGTGTTTAATAATCTAGACTTTAAAGATCTTGTATCATAATTATTTTGGATGCATTTAAGGATGGAATAAAATATAAATGGTCCTTAAGGGGTGGCATTTTTTATAGGATTTAGTAGAAAATGATTAAAAATTATTAATAAATATTTTCTTTTTAATTTTAACGTTGGATTGTGTGCCATGCTGCTATTAAAAGGCAGTCGAAAGAATATTGATATATTAAACAACACGTGATAGCAGATAAGAGCCACTGTAGTGGTTGCACCGTAATATAGAGTTAGGATTATTTTGTAATACATATTATCAATGAAAAAATGAAATTCCATTTATATTTTGTGACATCAAGAAATCAATATTTTCTATATTAAATCAATATGTTCTATGAGAATTAAGCTGCAGCTTAATATCGCCCACTATTTGATGCTTCATCTAGTTTCAGTAACATTGACATTGTGTTTTTGGCTCTATAGTTTTAGAGTTATTTCAGGGCTCATGGGGGAACTAAAGCATGAAACTAGAAGACATTCTTTCTTGGTTTTTATTTACTCAGAGAATCAAGCTTGATCTGGGGTACTGTTCAAAGACTTTGTTACATGTCAAATCAGGAGTAACAGCCACTCATGATCAACTCTTTCATGGCCAGAGGAGCCTGCATTAAATTATAGAATCCACCAGAGGCAGGAGGTCGATGTAGTGCCAAGTCCTGTCTTGGCTCAAGAGAAGGATTCCAAATGTAATTAGTTATTCTCTGAGCAGTGATGAAACCACCAGCTATCCTTGCACTTTTCAATATAACCTGCTTTGTCTTCTCTGAATCATGCTAGACCCAAGGTTGACATTTTCAATGAGCAGGGTCAAAAAAACACAGAGGGGGTTGAACAATTTAAATAATTTATTAAATACATAAAGGCATATGGTTTATTGAAATAAAATATAGAAAAGTTACTGTTACGCATCATTTGCATATCTCAGGCTGTACTTTGATAAGTCCTCCTTAGGCACAGAAACTTGAAAAATCATGTTTCCACAACTACCAGCCTGGCATGCAAATGAATGAACACAGATAGGCACCGTGTTAAGATGTCATACTGCATTTCTACAGATACCCTTAGAAATAGATGCTGTTTTAAACACAGCTTTTTCTAAAACCACGCCAGGGCTATCATCGAAAAGGAACAGTGACCAGAAACCAGCTTTCGACTGTGGTTTTGACCTTATGGATTTAATCAGCCTGGCAAGGTGCTGACTTTAGCATGAAAGTTCAACCACATAAAAATAATAGTTATAAAAATAAAAATAACTTACTTAGTACTAATGCAAAATTGCAAAAAAAAAAAAAAATACACTAATGAAATGTGGATTACTCATCAAGACCATTTTGGGGGGATCGTTACATTGTTTTCCATAGAGATTGCACAACTTTTAGAACATTGGGGGAGATTTATTAATGCGTTGTTGACACTTTTATTTGTAATTTTCAGCAAATGTTGCAATCTTTTAAATATGATGGGTTTGTTTCATCTGTTGCATCATTTGAGCACTAACAATAATTTTGAATATATTACATATTTTCACAAAATAATGGATTTATAATTTTTTAAACTCTTTTTCAAACAGCAAATTGTTATCTTTCCTTTTATTTTCAAAACTCTAAATTTGGAGGTCTTTTGAACTGAATTTACTATGACAAAAATTGTCACTTTAATAAATGTAATCACATTAATGATGTAATTAAAACCCCACTTTTCAGAACACAAAAAGAAATATCCCACATATTTACTCTAGGTTAATCACTGCAGTATGAAGATAATGGTTTCTTATAAAAGGAACGAATGCTATCTCTGTTTGATGTATATTATTTTAAATATCAGACAGGTATTCCCTCATGGTTTTCCTGATCAGTTTACTCTTGTGGTGACCTTGCTGCTAAAGAAACAGACAACAGATGAAGATTGGTATCTATTTCAAATCAGTGATCACCTAGGATACCCACAGGTACCTATACTCCACCACATCATCTCTGACATTTGCGTGACTTGAATAAGGTTGTTTTAGTGCTGTAATGATTTTTTAAATAATCAATAAGCAGAATTAGTTAAGTACAGTAATCTGCATATTCAATAGCATCATCAACTTCACCACACACAACATTGGTATTATCACTCGCAACATCACCCATACAACCGAGTTTGTAAACTATTCGATAATATAACCTACAGCACATTGTTAAGTTGAATCCTTTATTTGTTCTAAAGTGATGCAAGCAATGTGCTGGTATTACTTTTTAAGATACAGTCCACACTCCATAGTCCAAGTTTTGCATTACTGGTTGAGTCTGATTACAGATATTGTTTATTCATTAAATTATGTCTCTTGATGATAACTTACAACCTTCCATCCCATCATTTCCTTGTTTTCTTTTTATGAAAGGCTTGGTTTTACATATAATTTCATGGATAATTAATTTCATTCTAGTCATTGACATATATCCTCCATCTTGTTTGCTTTGCCCAGATCTCTATAGGTGTCAATGGTAAGGATCGTACAGTGTCACTCCAAGCCAGAGGACAAGATAAAGAATATGTAGGCAGCACGTTTGCTGGACAGGGCTTGTACTCCCTGTTTGACAATGGATGGCACAAGATTGTGCTTAGCGTTCAAGAAAAAATGGCATCTATTCACATTGACTGCAGCTTCATCTCCTTCAAACCCATCGAGCCAAGGGCCCCCCTGGCCATGGATGGACATACCTTCATCGGGTTAAACACAGTAAATGGTTCCCCAGTACATGTAAGTTCACCTAAGATCTGTTTAAAATATTGAAAGATTTCATGGAGAGCTTCTTAGCATCTCAAATAATTTAAATCCAGGTATATATATCACTTCCTCCTTTTCTTCCAGATTGATATTCAGAAATTCCTTTTATACTGTGATCCCCTAATGGCAATGCAGGAAGGATGTTGTGAGATCCTACCAGCTGGAGTAAGTAAGATTCTACATACCTGTGCTGAAGTTATCATGCATGTATACTAGCATTATTAAGTGGGGGATTTCAGCTCTCTTAACATAAAGCACTTTACAATGATCGAAACCTTGACCCACAAATAGTTTCCTGACATTTTTATTTGTTTATCCATTCTTATGAAGAGTTAGGGGAAAGGTTTGTGGTGTTGTTAAAGCATTTAGTATGTATATTTGTCTCTAAATTAATTCAAATAGACTCATGTAATACTAAAGGTAATCAGAAGAGACCCATGGTTCTTAGTTCAAAGCAAGAAATTGCATAATTCATTGGATTTATAATGTATAATGTATGCTCTACTGCTTCCAATTGAACTATTTTATAGCCCACTGCTGCTTTAATTTATGGGTAATTCCAAAGATTTAAACAGATCATGGAGTACCAGGAAAATATTAGTTCAGTGTTTTTCTGTGAACTCTTATATATGTAAATACTTACGGTATACACTTTGTGGAATACATGTGAGTGCATCCCAAATTCTAGTTTTTTACATGTATGGTTATTTAGTATACATCCATTCAGATTTAACCAAAAAAAATTACCTACCAAAAGCAAAACATTTTTGAACAAATTGATCCGAAACTTTTCAGATTCATTAGTTTTCATCAGGATAGCAAATTAATTTTCATCCTTTAGTTTCGTAATAAAAAGCTACAATATACAGTTGCAAGAAAAGGTATGTGAACCCTTTGGAATGATATGGATTTCTGCACAAATTGGTCATAAAATGTGATCTGATCCTCTTCTGAAACTGTAATTAGTCTAATACTATCCTTACCTTTTTGTGTCATTTTACCCCACTCCCTCTAGCATGTAAGCTCATTGAGCAGGGCCCTCAACCCCTCTGTTCCTGTGTGTCCAACCTGTCTGGTTACAAATACATGTCTGTTCGTCCACCCATTGTAAAGCGCTGCAGAATTTGACGGCGCTCTATAAATATAATAATAATAATAATAATAATAATCTAAGTCACAACAATAGACAATCACAGTCTGCTTAAACTAATAACACACAAAGAATGAAATGTTGCCATGTTTTTATTGAACACACCATGTAAACATTCACAGTGCAGGTGGAAAAAGTATGTGAACCCTTGGATTTAATAACTGGTTGAACCTCCTTTGGCAGCAATAACTTCAACCAAACATTTCCTGTAGTTGCAGATCAGACGTGCACAACGGTCAGGAGTAATTCTTGACCATTCCTCTTTACAGAACTGTTTCAGTTCAGCAATATTCTTGGGATGTCTGGTGTGAATCGCTTTCTTGAGGTCATGCCACAGCATCTCAATCGGGTTGAGGTCAGGACTCTGACTGGGCCACTTCAGAAGGCGTATTTTCTTCTGTTTAAGCCATTCTGTTGTTGATTTACTTCTATGCTTTGGGTCATTGTCCTGTTGCAACACCCATCTTCTGTTGAGCTTCAGCTGGTAGACAGATGGCCTTAAGTTCTCCTGCAAAATGTCTTGATAAACTTGGGAATTCATTTTTCCTTCGATGATAGCAATCCGTCCAGGCCCTGACGCAGCAAAGCAGCCCCAAACCATGATGCCCCCACCACCATACTTCACAGTTGGGATGAGGTTTTGATGTTGGTGTGCTGTGCCTTTTTTTGCCACACATAGTGTTGTGTGTTTCTTCCAAACAACTCAACTTTGGTTTCATCTGTCCACAGAATATTTTGCCAGTACTGCTGTGGAACATCCAGGTGCTCTTGTGCAAACTGTAAACGTGCAGCAATGTTTTGTTTGAACAGCAGTGGCTTCCTCTGTGGTATCCTTCCACGAAATCTATTCTTGTTTAGTGTTTTACGTATTGTAGATTCACTAACAGGGATGTTAGCATTTGCCAGTGACTTTTGTAAGTCTTTAGCTGACACTTTAGGATTCTTCTTCACCTCATTGAGCAGTCTGCGCTGTGCTCTTGCAGTCATCTTTACAGGACGGCCACTCCTAGGGAGAGTAGCAGCAGTGCTGAACTTTCTCCATTTATTGACAATTTGTCTTACTGTGGACTGATGAACGGCAAGGCTTTTGGAGATACTTTTATAACCCTTTTCAGCTTTATGCAAGTCAACAATTCTTAATCGTAGGTCTTCTGAGAGCTCTTTTGTTTGAGGCATCATTCACATCAGGCAATGCTTCTTGTGAAAAGCAAACCCAGAACTGGTGTGTGTTTTTTATAGGGCAGGGCAGCTGTAACCAACACCTCCAATCTCATCTCATTGATTGGACTCCAGTTGGCTGACATCTCACTCCAATTAGCTCTTGGAGATGTCATTAGTCTAGGGGTTCACATACTTTTTCCACCTGCACTGTGAATGTTTAGATGGTGTGTTCAATAAAAACATGGCAACATTTCATTCTTTGTGTGTTATTAGTTTAAGCAGACTGTGATTGTCTATTGTTGTGACTTAGATGATGATCAGATCACATTTTATGACCAATTTGTGCAGAAATCCTTATCATTCCAAAGGGTTCACATACTTTTTCTTGCAACTGTATGTATTATTTATTTATATATATTTAGAACAAAAAAGAAACCTTGCACTCCTACCTACAGCCTTAGGGACTTGGTGCTTGAAAGCACTGAAATGTATACAAACGAAAGGTATCAGCACTCCAAGGTTTTCCAAATCAAAGGTTTACTTGAAAAAAGGTGTCAAAATATATATATATATATATATATATATATATACACTAAACAAAATTATAAACACAACACTTTTGTTTTTGCCCCCATTTTTCATGAGCTGAACTGAAAGACCTAAGTTTTTTTCTATGTACACAAAAGGTCTATTTCTCTCAAATATTGTTCATAAATCTGTCTTAAACTGTGTTAGTGAGCACTTCTACTTTGCCGAGATAATCCATCCAACTCACAGGTGTGGTATATCAACATGCTGATTAGACAGCATGATTATTGCACAGGTGTGCCATAGGCTGGCCAAAATAAAAGGCCACTCTAAAATGCGCAGTTTTATCACACAGCACAATTCCACAGATGTTGCAGGTTTTGAGGGAGCGTGCAATTGGCATGCTGACTGCAGGAATGTCCACCAGAGCTGTTGCCCGTAAACTGAATGTTCATTTCTCTACCATAACCGAGATAATCCATCCACCTCACAGGTGTGGCATATCAAGATACTGATTAGACAGCATGATTATTGCACAGGTGTGCCTAAGGCTGCCCACAATTAAAGGCCACTCTAAAATGTGCAGTTTTACTGTATTGGGGATGTCCGGGGGGGTCTGAAAACCAGTCAGTATCTGCTGTGACCACCATTTGCCTGACGAAGTGCAACACATGTCCTTTGCATAGAGTTGATCAAGTTGTTGATTGTGGCCTGTGGAATGTTGGTCCACTCCTCTTCAATGGCTGTGCGGAGTTGCTGGATATTGGCAGGACCTGGAACATGCTGTTGTATACGCTGATCCAGAGCATCCCAGCCATCGAATGTGAGCATTTGCCCACTCAAGTCGGTTACGACGACAAACTGCAGTCAGGTCGAGACCCCAATAAGGACAATGGGCATGCAGATGAGCTTCCCTAAGACAGTTTCTGACAGTTTGGTTATGCAAACCGATTGTTTCAGCAGCTGTCCGGGTGGCTGGTCTCAGACGATCTTGGAGGCGAAGATGCTGGATGTGAAGGTCCTGGGCTGGTGTTGTTACACGTGGTCTGCGGTTGTGAGGCCGGTTGGATGTACTTCCAAATTTTCTGAAACGCCTTTGGAGATGGCTTATGGTAGAGAAATGAACATTCAATTTACGGGCAACAGCTCTGGTGGACATTCCTGCAGTCAGCATGCCAATTGCACGCTCCCTCAAAACTTTCGATATCTGTGGCATTGTGCTGTGTGACAAAACTGCACATTTTAGAGTGGCGTTTTATTGTGGCCAGCCTGAGGCACACCTGTGCAATAATCATGCTGTCTAATCAGCATCTTGATATGCCACACCTGTAAGGTGGATGGATTATCTCGGCAAAGGAGAAGTGCTAACTAACACAGATTTAGACAGATTTGTGAACAATATTTGAGAGAAATAGGAATTTTGTGTCATAGAAAAAGTCTTAAATCTTTGAGTTCAGCTAATGAAAAATAGGGGAAAAACAAAAGTGTTGTGTTTATAATTTTGTTCAGTGTGTATATATATATATATATATATATATATATATATATTCAAGTTTTATGCTATTAGACAGGTCTTAAAAGTTAATCACCACTGCAAGCCTGTAGGGTCCATGGCACCATCACCATTGATAAAGTTCTTCTTGCCAGGGCAAAATTTTCACTTGCCATTGGCTAGTGGCGAGTGCAGATTTTAAGCACTGCTATTAGTAAAAATACATTTTATATGACATATCTCTAGATGATGTAAAGATTTCCCTTTCTATCTCACAATGCAGTGTGGTCCAGAGGCTCCCAAAACTAGACGTAATACAGAGGCTTCTGAGAACATGCCGGACAGCAATCTCATTGAGTTATCTTCTAAATTCAAAACCCAGAGCTACACTCGATGCTTCTGTTTAGAGGATTCATTGCAAAAGAAGGTATGGATTATATGTTCTATATAATGGTATTTATTGCACACAAAAATCATGTATCTATGTAAGTGAATATTACTGTTTCTGAATATATTCATAAACAAAGTCAATGTACCATTTAACTAAGAATACAAGTGATACTTTAAGGGACACTATAGTCACCAGAACAACTACATATTATTGCAGTTGTTCTGGTGAGTATAATCATTCTCTTCAGGCTTTTTGCTGTAAACACTGTTTGTTTCAGAGAAAATGCAGTGTTTACATTACAGCCTAGGGATACCTCTACTGGCCACTCCTCATTACTGATGAACTCAGCAAATCCAATGCAGCCTCATAGAGATGCATTAGCTGAATGCTCTCCTATGGTGAGCGTTTGCGTCTTCATACTGAGTGTGAACATGCCGAATGTCGGTCCTGCATATATTTCAGGACTGTAAAAGGAAGAGCCTCTAGTGTCTCAGAATAGGCAGTGTTTTTATTACTGCCTATAGGATTGCAGGAACACTATTTTTTTTACCAGAACCACTACATTAAATCTAGTGGCTCTGGTGCTTAGAGTATCCATTTAACTTCCCCATGTTCAAACAGAAATGCTTTATTATCAGTTTGAATGAGAAGTACCAAATAAAATAGTCCTTCAAAGTAATACTTCAAGCACCATAACCACTGCAGCCCACTTGTGCACCATATACTGTAAGTTAACCACTATAACAGTTGTAGATAAGTAGTTGAACTGTTTGGTTTAACAACAAAGATGGATGCCCAAGGCTGCATCCCCCCACCTGATATTCTCCTGCAGCAAAATCCCATTAGTAAGACAGAGATACGCAGGACAATGAAGGTCATTGGCAGAGCATGGTCCTGGATCCACCATGCTTAACAAAGACTCTGTAGTAGAACTGAAATGTTCTCACTGCCATGAACCTCTTAAGGTCTTCTTAAAGCCAACCAGAGTGCCTCGACTCTTCTTTGTATTTGATGTATCTCCTACAGGAGAGTACCAAATTCAGCACAGTGGTCATGGTGGTAGGAGTCTCTATAAGGCAGCGTTTCTCCTTGAAATGCTACACATCAAAAGATAATTAGACTTCCGTGTAGTGTGCACTGTTGACAGACATGGTCAGATTTTGCTCTGTCTGCCCTCTCTTCCTCCCTACTTGCAGTCTCTCCCAGAACTACCCACCCCTCAATATGAATGTATTTATTTTTAAAAAGCCATCATCATCCACTCCATCTCCTCACTGTCTCCAAGCGTGAGAATGAGAATGGTCTAATCAAATGGTTCTATTTGAGTAGCATTTGATTGGACAATGCTGCATTTTATGAGAGAAGTTGGGGAACTAATGAGCCATGTCCAATAGGGCATTCTACTTTGAATTAAAATGTTGTTTAAAAAAGAGTAACCATTTTAACAACTTACTGCTGGGAGGGCACTCCTGCTTATAGAAATCTTTTACATTGTAAGCTCGTTTGAGCAGGTTTTTCTTCACCTCTAAAATATGCCCATTCTATAATTGTAAAGTTCTGCAGAATATGTTGTCACTAAATAAATGCTAAAAATACTACTGCATTGTGTATATCTTCTACATATATAACATGGCAGGCTACACATAGAAATATATCTCCAGTAAAAAAATAAATATGTAAATAAAACCCTTATATGGAACTACACTGAACAAAATTATAAAAGCAACACTTTTGTTTTTGCCCCCATTTTTCATGAACTGAACTCAAAGATCTAAGACATCTCCTTTGCCAAGATAATCCATTCACCTCACAGGTGTGGCATATCAAGATGCTGATCAGACAGCATGATTATTGCACAGGTGTGCCTTAGTCTGGCCACAATAAAAGGCCACTCTAAAATGCGCAGTTTTATCACACAGCACAATGCCACAGATGACGCCCCCCGGACCTTCCCAATACAGTAAAACTGCACATTTTAGAGTGGCCTTTTATTGTGACCAGCCTAAGGCACACCTGTGCAATAATCATGCTGTCTAATCAGCATCTTGATATACCGCACCTGTAAGGTGGATGGATTATCTCGGCAAAGGAGAAGTGCTCACTAACACAGTTTAAGACAGATTTGTGAACAATATTTGAGAGAAATAAGCCTTCTGTGTACATAGAAAAAGTCTTAGATCTTTGAGATCAGCTCATGAAAAATAGGGGCAAAAACAAAAGTGTTGCGTTTATAATTTTGTTTAGCATATATATTATTTATTTCATTTTTTAGCTAAACATTTTTTTTTCAAAAAAGTCCACCTTTGATTGAAGCATATCTTTATATATTCATGTAATTTTAGAATCCCATAATGTTCTGTTTGCACAAGTAAGTCATTTTTCCAGTGAACAGAAATCAGTAGATCTGGGATGTGAATGCTCTATAATTGATTTATTAGTCCCACATGCAATTCCTGGCTTATACTAACAAGAGTACATGCCATGTCTGCTCCCTGCCGTCACGTGCATCTCTATAAGCTTTCTATAGCTTTCTGCCCTCGAGGTATCCCACACCTCATCTTTCAAGTACATGTTGAGCATCCACAGTGAATTCATGATGATCTGTAGCACACCCATTATGTAAAATCACTTTGAACATAAGGTGGGCAGGTCTATATCAAGCTGTAGGCTGAGACAGGGTGTAATCTATATAGGACAAGCAGGGGAGCAGCATGAAATACCTTGTAGAGTAGCAATCATTCATTGGAGGTGCAGTATTGCAAATATGTGCCACTAGAAGGGAGGTACTTGTAATCTGTACAGTGTGCGCTAGTGAGAAAAATATCTCAACTGAGAAAAATTCCTGTACATGATTGATTTATCTAAGTACTTGCTCTTTATGAAATCTGCATAGATCTGCCTAATGCACACCAAAAGTTATTAAAAAGTGCTCTTTGTTTATACATTATAAACACAAATTACAATATATGGTACTAAAAAAATCATAAGCACACATACAGAAACAACCAGAGAAAATATAATTGTATATGAAATAATCCAGAGAAGTACGATTGCGCTTATTGATACCAGTTGGCAGTTGGATGGGTTCAGACACAGCTACCTGCCCCCCAATGTCAGGATGTTGCATTATTTACAGAGCGTGGCAGCTGACAACATCTTATTTAGGGAGCCAACTCACATGGGGCATTGAATGTCTCATCTCACCATGTGGTCAGTGGCAAATATCCAGGGACATCATATATACTTACTGTAGACAGGCAGCCCGGTCAGCCTAATATAGTGCAGTCCAACAGGCTCCTTAATGCACTGCCCCGTCCATATTATTATTATTATTTATTGTATTATTTATAATGCCAGCAAATTTCTGCACATATGTATGTCCAGCTATCTATCTATCTATAGCCTAAAGGATAGAGAGTATATGTATACAAAAATATCCAAATACAAGTGAACGGGATGTCACTATAAAATCATTCTCCATAGACACATGATAGAGACAGAATAGTAGTCTGAGTGAAAAAAAAAACAAATAAATATAGATTAAAATAAGATAAAGTATGCTCCTATATACACCGGAGTATATAGATAATTAGATAATTAGGTACTGTGGCTTGTGTCTACTAAATGAGCTTTGTTAAATCTGGCTCTGTGTATATCAAGACACTCCCAAATACAAAATCCCAAATATTTACCGCACTCAAAAGACTTCAAACAGGAGGTAGTGAGTATTAATAATACTTAAAGATAATAAGGAAATTAGAGGAATCTCTATTGGGGATGGTAAAGCAAGGCTAGTCTCTATGCAGACGACGTTCTGTTGACTTTAACAGACCCTGAGACATTGATAGAATACCTTTTAAATGAGATTAAAATATATGGAGAGTACTCTAACTATAAACTCAATATTAATTAATCACAAGCTATGTCAGTGGGAATGAATAAAAATGAAATGGTAATTCTTACTCATAAGTTTTCATTCATGTGGAAAGATAAATACATTGACTACTTAGGGATCAAAATTAAAAAATAGTTGTGATGAACTATTAAATGAACTTTCAAAAAAACTGGGAGAATGGAGAAATCTGCCCCTATCATGGATGGGCAAAATTAACATTATTAAATCATATATTACCTAGATGGCTCTACAATATGAGACTAATCCCCATTCAACTCCCTTTCTTCTTCTGCACACAATTTCAATCCACAGTAGAAAAATGTATTTGGTCAAAAAAGAAACCAAAAATTGCAAAAAAAAATCTTATATAGAGATAAGTCCAAGGGGGCATGTGTTCCCCTAATTTGAGCCTTTATAGTCGAATTTACGCAATGATGCATGTACATGCTATTCATTCATATTCCTTTAGAACTAAAGATTGGTTCATTATTGAACAAAAAATATTGAATATCAAGAATTATAATAATCTCTTATGGCTGAATAACTTAATAGCCAAAAAAATATACACAACTCTAAAGGGATTTTTGTAATCAAAAACATTATTTCTTTCTGGTGGAAAATGAAGAATAGCATTGAATTAAGAGATAAAATAATAACTCAAACTCCCATCGAAATAATTGAATATAACATACTAGATCTGAACAAGATGAAGTGGTTTAACAACAAAAAGGTGATTGACTTTATGGAGGGTGCTCAGTTAAAAACATACAATCACTTAATAATGGAATATGAAATCCCAAGAAAGGATTATTATAATCTGATTCACATAAAAAAACTAAATTTCTGGGCATCTTCTAACTACTTTAAACCCCAATGCCATGAAACTGATAGATAAACTCTTTGCAGCTCATTCAAATCAAAATATCTTTACAAAGGTTCAATGTTTTTTGAAATCCCTTGAAAAGGAAAATGGAGTGAGAGCCCAGACTGCATGGTATAAAGACCTTGGCACAGTGATAGATAGCATGGCATGGGCTAATAGCTGACTACACGTTGGGAGAGTTACCTTTGTTTAAATATCCAAGAATTACACTATAAAATAATGCATAGATGGCATGTAGTCCCCACTAGAATGCATAAAAGTGATTCTAATCACAGTGCCCTGTGTTGGAGATGTGGCCTAAGGGAAGGAACATTTGAACATGTATGGTGGTCTGTAGACTAGTCCACAATACATGGTCTAAGGTTTTTCTAATAATCTCAGATATTTTAAAGACAAAACTCATAACTTCTCCAGAAAAAGCCTTATTACATTTAAAGCTGGATGGATTAAATAAGCAAGGGAAATTGTTGACTATCCAGATCTTTATGGCCATGAAGTTAGTAATATCAAGAATGTGGAATAAAAAGCAGGACATTTTGCTGATAGCTGTTTTAAATCAAGTACATTTTCAATGCAGGGTGGATAAAGGCTATTTTTCGGCTCTTCAAAGCTTTGGTTCATATATAAAAATTTGGGAGCCTTGGTTAAATTCAGATCTTGAGTGCTAAATATTTGGCCTTTCTTTTTCATTTTAGATTTGTATGATAAAGGGAGGGGGGACTTCCATGCAGACCATGTCTTGTCCTGTTTTATTTTCTACGATTTGTAAGCTGCCACAGACCTTTTATAGAGAGGATTTCTTTTACATAAATATCATTCTAGTCGCATAAATTATGTATTGTCTAGGCAGCTTGGATATGTATAATTGGAGAAGCGTACTTATAATAACTGTTTTATAGATTAATCAATCTATAATACTCCAACTTTATATGTGAATAATATAAAAAAAGTATTAAAAAATTATATTGGATAATATTTAGTTTTTAATAATTCATCTTAAAAAAATTAGCAGATGTTTCAGTCCCACCAAGGGGACTTTCATCAATACAAATAAAGGTTTTTCATTTGTCTTGATGAAAGTCCCCTTGGTAGGACTGAAACATCAACTTATTTTAAGGATAAATTATTAAAAGCTAAGTATTATCAATACTCACCATCTTCGGTTTGAAGTCCTTTGAGTGCGTTAATTTTTTTGGATTATATATATATATATATATATATATACACACTGCTCAAAAAAATAAAGGGAACACAAAAATAACACATCCTAGATCTGAATGAATTAAATATTCTTCTGAAATACTTTGTTCATTACATAGTTGAATGTGCTGACAACAAAATCACACAAAAATGAAAAAATGGAAATCAAATTTTTCTGGATTTAGAGTCACACTCAAAATTAAAGTGGAAAAACACACTACAGGCTCAGTAGTTTGTATGTCCTCCGCGTGCCTGTATGACCTCCCTACAACGCCTGTGCATGCTCCTGATGAGGTGGCGGATGGTCTCCTGAGGGATCTCCTCCCAGACCTGGACTAAATCATCTGCCGACTCCTGGAAAGTCTGTGGTGCAACATGACGTTGGTGGATGGAGCGAGACATGATGTCCCAGATGTGCTCAATTGGATTCAGGTCTGGGGAATGAGCGGGCCAGTCCATAGCATCAATGCCTTTGTCTTGCAGGAACTGCTGACAAACTCCAGCCACATAAGGTCTAGCATTGTGTTGCATTAGGAGGTACCCAGGGCCAACCGCACCAGCATATGGTCTCACAAGGGGTCTGAGGATCTCATCTCGGTACCTAATGGCAGTCAGGCTACCTCTGGTGAGCACATGGAGGGCTGTCCGGCCCGCCAAAGAAATGCCACCCCACACCATTACTGACCCACTGCCAAACTGGTCATGCTGGAGGATGTTGCAGGCAGCAGAACGTTCTCACGGCATCTCCAGACTCTGTCATGTCTGTCACATGTGCTCAGTGTGAACATGCTTTCATCTGTGAAGAGCACAGGGCGAATTTTCCAATCTTGGTGTTCTTTGGCAAATACCAAACGTCCTGCACGGTGTTGGGCTGTAAGCACAACCCCCACCTGTGGACGTCGGGCCCTCATACCACCCTCATGGAGTCTGTTTCTGACCGTTTGAGCAGACACATGCACATTTGTGGCCTGCTGGAGGTCATTTTGCAGGGCTCTGGCAGTGCTCCTCCTGTTCCTCCTTGCACAAAGGCAGAGGTAGCATTCCTGCTGCTGGGTTGTTGCCCTCCTACAGCCTCCTACATGTCTCCTGGTGTACTGGCCTGTCCCCTGGTAGCGCCTCCATGCTCTGGACACTACGCTGACAGACACAGCAAACCTTCTTGCCACAGCTCGCATTGATGTGTCATCCTGGATGAGCTGCACTACCTGAGCCACTTGTGTGGGTTGTAGACTCCGTCTCATGCTACCACTAGAGTGAAAGCACCGCCAGCATTCAAAAGTGACCAAACCATCAGGAAGCATAGGAACTGAGAAGTGGTCTGTGGTCACCACCTGCAGAACCACTCCTTTATTGGGGGTGTCTTGCTAATTGCCTATAATTTCCACCTGTTGTCTATCCCATTTGCACAACAGCATGTGAAATTGATTGTCACTCAGTGTTGCTTCAGTTTGTGGACAGTTTGATTTCACATAAATTTCATTGACTTGGAGTTACATTGTGTTGTTTAAGTGTTCCCTTTATTTTTTTTTAGCAGTGTATATAAAAAAACAAGAAATTAGGACTATAGAGTATAGAGATAGTGGCTGTAGTGTTTTGGGATGATAGTCCACCAACCCATGTATCAACCCACACTATGCCAGGCTTGCTAAGGCCATACACAATGTCTGCCTGCTTCCTTCCCCCTGCAATACTATGAAAACAAACATCACAACACACATCCCACTGATTTTCATTAGAATGATTAGGGGCTGCATCCCATGACCCCATTGTCAGGCATCCTGTGCTAGTAGCCCAGTTGGCAATTGTTCCCCTGCCAGTTGCCAGACCTCCCATGGATGAAAGTCTATAGAGCTCTAAAAACTTAAATATCAAAACTAAGTGAGGCTCATTCTGAAGCAGAAATATGCTTATATCCAATGAACATGGTGGAAACATATGGTGGAAAAATATGCAGTCTTGGCCCAGACACATTTTTTTATTCATTAAACAGAATTATAGTGAACTAAAAATGAATTTGATAATGCAGGCAAAATATGCTGATTTGGAAATATTTTCCAGTCCAAATATAGCCACAGCTAAATCACATCTTGGCTATTTTACTATAAATTTAGCAAATTCTTTTTCAGTTTACTACACTTCACTATTAACTAAATAAACCCATTTAATGCACAAGGGATTTAATTACACAATCATTTATCTATACTCTAAGCCATGGGTCCTCAAACTCCAAACTCCAGATGTTGCTGAACTACAACTCCCATGATTCTTTGAATTACATAGATAGCCAGAGAATCATGGGAGTTGTAGTTCAGCAACATCTGGGGGGCCAGAGTTTGAGGACCCCTGCTCTAACCTAATGTAACATTGGTCAAAAGGCTCACTGTGTTTGGTAAAACTAGGTTAAAAGTACGTAGTTACACTACAACCAATGCATTTCAGTGTAGGTTGTTATAATGCTTAGAATATCCATTTACCTGGGGCTGGGATGAGTTGACTTATTTTTGTTGGCTCAATTTTTTACTCCTTTATCAGCTCACCACAATTCAATGTTTAGTGAATTAAAACGTTTAATGTGTAGTTAGACAAGTGTGATTTTTAACTATGTCTGCTTTGTTGGGATAATTAAGACATGTTTTATTAGGAAATCAATGCAGGCTCATTTGTAATAATTCATTCGAAATTTCATTTTTTATTGAGCATCCATAAATTCTAAAGTACATGGTGTAAATTGTGTCAAAGTTAAACTGTTCCTCACATCTGTTCTTTCAGTTCTCAGTATGAGTTCAATCCTAATAACCCCTGAATGTTACTTTGAACCCCTCATCTGTTTTTCATCTTTAATAAATGGTCACGTGTTGGATGGCTTGTGGAGGATCCTTGCTGTCTGTAGATCTAAGAACGATAAAGCAAAATGCAAAAAAAAAAAAAGGAGCATGGAAGAAGGAGGGAGAGAAGGGTAGATGTGGTAAAGCCACCCGAAACGCATTACATAAACCTCAAAAACCATTAGTGGTGAAGGGTTTGGAAAGAAACCGTCTTATTTCTGCTTAACGTGGCTCCATCTAAATGCTGACTAAGCAAGACTCTTTAAACTCCATTTCTTGGGAACACAGTGAAAAAAACTGGCCAAGAAAGGGAATAGCAGGGGAACTAAGCATGATTTCAGAAAGATCCCTGGCTGCACTGTAATGCTATAAATATATCCACAATATTAAAGAAACCGTAGAGCCGCACAAAGAAAATATATAATCAAAGCCTTGTGACACGTACATTTGTCTCATTTTACAATTGCCCAATCCCTCAATGCAAATGTGACAGAATTCAACATTTTGTTAACATCTGGACAATTTCCATAATGAAAACAAATCTTTGCCAAAGATATTCAAAAAACCTAAGTCCAAACGAGTCCAAATTTCATACATTTTATAAAAAAAACATGAATGCACTAGTTGAGACGGTCAGCACATGTCATCTCAATTTTTCCATCTCTAGCTTTGCAGTTGAAATGAAGAATATACTAAATCATCTGTTGTACATATAAATAAGCAAAGACGTGTGCGAGTGCATATTTGTATATGCATACACACGTATACATAAATTCCGTTCCTGTGATAATTATTTATAAATCCCACTAATTGACCGTAATATTTTTACCCTTACTCTGTGACTGTGTACAATTTTCCTACCTAAAATATATATATAAATAAAAGTGAAAATTATTTGAATTGGCGTTGAAATGTAGATCTAGAATGCTGACACACTGAACGGTGAATGTCTCTTTGACATTCTGAATCTGTGAAGGCCCAGGTCTTATTCTGCAGAACAAACTCCATTCATGCTCCTTAGTGTGCATGCATCACTCTTTCCACTGCTATGTTCAGCCAGAAATATGGAAAAGGGACGAGACGGACGGTGGGGAAGTGGTTTGCTGAGCCAGATAGGGGTGGAGAATGTCCTTCTTCTGAGGTTTCAAAAGCCTTCCAAGAACGAAGGAAATGAAAAGAGATTTTGTTCTTGGTGTGTGGGAACAATTCATTCCACATACAGCTAGACTATAACAAAGGAATGTAAGTCTGTCAGTTTGTACAAATAATTTAGGACATGCTACCCAAAAATCCACAGCTAGCACACAACATTGCTCACCTTACTACTGGCAATTGGCCTTCAGCTCAGAATCATACTCTAAACTCGCATACACATTTCAGTCTTGTTTCTGCCAACATTCATTACAGTGCTCTAACTTCTCATACTCTACTTTGCATTTTTTCTGAAATTCCCCTTGCTTATCAGTATAATATATCTCTTAATAAGCAGTGAGACGCCATGCAATGGTATCATCCCAATGCACGTATTTTCTGTTGCCTTACTCATGGAAGTATACTATTTAATATCATTTATACTTTCAGGGACTGAGGCTGTGTATATTCGCGTCTAATTTCAGTGAAACAAAGCCTAGATCATTCTTCTAATATTACTGTTATTACAGGAGCCAAGTAGAGTAAAGCTGATGCTTTTCTTGTAGTAAGTACATTTATACCAATGTTCTTAACACACATTGTACATAGTGATATGTACCTTCTCCTTTAAACACATTTGCACAGTACCTTTCTTACAAGCAAGAACATTAGGCCAGGACAACAAGAAACAAGTTATTTATCATTCGTCTGTAACGTTCTGAGCTGCATAATGTTTAACTTCCGAAGCCAATCCATGCAGGTGTTAAAAGCCCTTCAGAAATTGAGTGGCAATCAGGATGCCAGGCAGATTGCCAGTACAGGCTGTCCAAAAGTATTGTAACATAATAAAAATTCCTTGCTACAATATTAGCCAATATTTAAAGTGTTGAATAGTGCATTAATTGTACCTGTATTGATTTTTTTCTTTCTGAGTGCTGAACACGCCTGGTAATATAATGTTCCTGATGCTGTGTCCATTGAGAAATAATATTTGTAACTGGTGTATGTTTTTTGTTTTGATGTTGGATCTTTTTTTAGTAAAGGCTAGCCTTATTCACACACAAAGATTGCTGTAGGGCACACACTTTTAGATGCATCACATTGATGATAACCAGATAATGGCCAGATAATGGCAAATACGATTTTGTCGTGTATGTGGGAGAGAGAGATTTGGATTATGTTTTGACAGGTTTCAATTTATGTAGGGAGAAAGGTGCATCTGTTTCTGTATATTTTCAGGATGCTCCTCACCATCGGATGTGTGACATAATGCGGAGGATTCTCTATTTCTAGCAGGCTTATGGTTGCCTTGTGGCTAATCCTGCTCTGCGAACAGGAACAATCCTGCCACTGTTTCCTTGTCTTTCCTGAGATTTTGGAGGCTCTCTCTATTGTATAAGGCATTGTGACAGGTGTGATTATACCTGAATGTCTGATTGTAGGTAATGAATTTTAGTTTTCAAGACAATAAAGAATTGATACTGGCTGCTGGGACTAAAAGGCTGATATTTGTGAGGAAGTGTCATGATAATGAGGTTACTGTATGTGCAAAAGTAAATTTCCATGTACCTTCTGGAGTCCCTCTTTACTTGCTGTTCATATGATCACAATGTCATGTATATGGTGTTCGCTGAGTTAGGTGCATATGTAGTCATTTTCCAACATTGCCATAAACCGATTTGCAAATGTTGGTGCCATTCATGACTCCTTTTTCAGAAAGTCCAGCCATGTGTGAAATTATTGCTGGTGAGTATAAACTGAAGAGTAAAAAGCTGTTCAAGGTTTTTTGGCACAGTGGCAGAATCAACATTAATAATGGTGGAGATAGGATGTTCTGAGGTGAAGTCAGCTTATTTGTGGCTAGACATTTGTGGCATCCTGAAAGTAACTGTCACGATACTTAGCTACCCAACACGCAGTGTGTATATGATAATAAATATGACAACATATACCGGTCCTTAGAGTGGCCGGGTTTAATGTTGTTAGGTATAGAATGGTCAGGGACAAGCCGAGTCACAGAGACCAGATAGCAGAGAAGCGAAAACCAATAGCCGAGTCACAGGATTACAGAATTGAGAATAGTTAGGATAGCAGAGTTCAATAAACCAGAAATTCAGAAAATACACAAGCACTATTGGGAACAAACTAGAACCACAACAGGGAAATGATCCTTGCCTTATTGTGCCTTTTTATAGTCTGAGGCTTTAATTCTATAACCACGCCGCAAAACGGTCGAATTGAACGTTTTGGCAGTCCGTAACATATTTTTTGTCATGAAGCCGGTGCGTGAGAAGAGGAGAGCAAATGTGGGAAATGTCTCTCTCCACCATATGGGCGTCTCCAGGCTGTTTATCAGCCTGGGCTACAACAGGTACTGTGACAGTAACAGGGTACTTTTTCACTAGAAGTTCAGAATGCTTTTCTTATGAAGAGAGAGATATATTTTTTTTAAATGTAGCAATGACTAATGTAACACCAATTCCTGGATTTCCATTTTAGTGTATTTTTGGTAGCATGAACAGGTATCACAGGCTTTCAAAATCCTGGGGGTAGCCTTTGTATAATCACGTGTACATTATATAATGTTCTAATAGCATTATTATATAGTTTTATAATACCCATATGATCCTTCTTGTCTTGCCTAGTGTAGGTTTATGTCCTGGTTTGGGCGCATTGCTTTTGAAGTATTTTGTGTTTTTGAAGTTATGGATTTTTGTCTATATTGTCATCAATTCCTTCACACATTTCTGAAGAGATTTTCAGTATTATTTTACCACTGTCCAGTCATGCGTATTTCTAAATATAATTGTGTCAAAATACTATGCAAGCTTTAAACCTAAAGATGGTAAGAGTCTAATGTGCCTGAAGCACAAATTTTAGTGGTAGTGAACGTTTGCACTCTAAATCTACTTATCTCCTACATTTCTACTGTTAACCACACACTACTTATTATTGCTATGTATGTAAAGTGTCTCCAGCTAGATGCAATTATACAATATATAATATATATATCTTTTTTATTTCTAGGGCGAGAAGGTGACTTCTGGGATGCCAGTGGAGCTACCACCAGAGGTGAGTGTGAGATTTGTGTGGACTGTATTTGGAAAGCATGCTTGTTCAATCTTCCAATGCAGCCCTTCTGATCACAACTTTAGTAAAAGGTGTTTAATTTAAGGTTATGTAGGCACTAGGACCCAGAGACATCATATGGAACATACTGAAGAATATAGAATGATTCAGTAAATATTTCAAGCATGACACTTTTAGACAGTAAGCAGTGAAAGCATATCTCTGCTCTAGGGCTTATTTGTTGGCAGTGTTTCATGTGGGTCATGACTCAATTATCACGCTTATGCTGTCTGTGGCATACTACTCTCAGCTCTGTACTCAAGACCCTTTGTTGGAGCGTGTTCCCAATTAGAATAACCTGAGTTATTGGATATAATGAAAAATGTGGACATCAAAAGCCTCATTATGTGTCATATACAGTAATCTGAAATGTACATCTCAAGTAACTTTTATATAAACAACAATAGTTCTGCAGCATTAAAATTTGATCCATGATTCCGGAGTTGTATACTTCATGAAGATGGCTATTGACCAGTTCAGAGGAATTGCAGTAGTGGAACTAGAAAGACAAATCATTCTTAGAACCCTAGAGCTTGGCCGGACATTCAAGTCACACAAAAGTGGTGCCCCATAAGCTATTTATTCCTATGAGTTTCCTCATTGTTAGCGTTGCTGTCCTGTGCCTTTCCAATATTTGTGGTCCAGCATTCACAATCTCTCACATACCTACTTACACAACCCAGTGTTTTGCTAACCATTCTCTCTTAAATACTTATCGTATTCACCCTCTGTATGAGAGTATCTAACGAGGGAATCGTAGTGCTCTTCAAGTGGAATGCCAAGTTTAACTTAGCTACCGTGAGAATGATGAGCAATACTTTGTGGTTGGGGTGGTGTATCAGCCCGGGGATGATATGCAGAAGGTAGCTGGTTGGCTTCTTTGGTATTCTATAGAGTGTGGTATCAGAGATAAATTTCCCCACCCGGTCCCAGTATTCTCCCAGGGCCGGACAATCCCAAAATGTGTGTAGCATAGTGCCTATCTGTGTTTTGCATCTCCAGCATAGCTCTGATGCCTCCTTATAGATTTGTGATAACTTGTATGGCACCAGGTACCATCTCATGGTGATTTTACAGAAGGCTTCCCGAGTGATAAACTCCTTGAGGCTCGTTTAGTAATTGACATAGCTTCGTGCCAAAGTGACAGAAGTATCTCATACCCCAGCTCCTTCTCCCATTGGATCATAGAGGGCATTTTGTCTTTTGCAGGCCCCTGGAGAAGAGCATTGTAACATAGAGAGAGAGGTTTCAAGTGTTTGGCTGAAAGCATTGAGGGTACATTCAAAACCGCTTCGGGAAGTACATCATGTGTTGTGTCTAACCTGGAAAACATAAAGTTTTTTACTCTCATGTACAAAAATAGGTCTCTCGGTGGTAGCGAGTATTGTTTTTGGAGCACTGGGAATGGTTTAATTTTATCCCCCTCTAATAGATCATTTACCTTTTGAATACCTTTTGTGACCCACAGTTTAATCGGCTCTAGGGTTCTAAGGCCAGGGTATGTGTCACAAGAACTGTTGCATAAGCAATATCAATGTGAACCTAACCCCCCCTTTTTTCCTTTCTGTATTCCCCTCCCTCTATGTTATCTTTCTATGTTATTCTTATGTTTTAATGACACTAATATGGATACAATTACCGGAGGACAACAGCATAATACGTTTAAGCAAAGCTTTGATGTCAATCTAGGAAAAATAGTTGTAAATTGTCGTATAGCAATTGTTTACTCTGTTATATGAAAATGTTAAAGTTTTGAAATTATTTGCATTGATAACATTCGCTAATAAAAATGATATATGGAAAAAAAAAGAAAGACAAACTATTCTACTAGAGTACATAAAAAGCATTTAAAATTGTCTTACACATCATGTAAATGTGACGCAATATAGACACACAGTCACTGTTTAGGGCATAACAGTAGTTGCAACTTTGTAATGCTGATAACATTGTCTGGTGTTGTAAACTGCAGATTTTGACATATTTCTGGTCCGAATGTGCTTTTTCAAGTTAAAGAACATAACTTACTGGTCCAAAGCAGGTAGTTAATTTGGCTTTAAGAGAAGACAGGGAGAGACTGATTGCACAGTGCAGTATTTGCAAAATATGTGTCAGGTAAATATAAATAATATCTGCTAATAAACACTTTGATTGCTACTTATTTCAGAAGATTTGTTTCGCTAAGACAGCTCAGGCAAACCCTCTAATCAAGATGTAATCACTGTTTGGAAAAATCACACAATCTTCAGGTGGGCGCTGGGCTAGCGGGAGAAGAAGCTAAGCTGAATAGAGATTAGAGCAAGTGGGGACTTGTCATGTAAAATGTTAGAAATGTGGCACTGGATGGTTAGTCTTTTTAATGAGCTCGGGGTCAGTTCATGATCAAAGTCCTATTTATATATGATCCTGTTCCTGATAACAGTGGGATATGCATTTTATCTGCCAAACATTCACCAACAGATTAATGTGTTTTTTATCAACCCATCTAACCTCACTAGCTATGGATGCTGTATGCTCCTGCACGTTTTAGGCAGAGACAGCACAACCCTTTTAAAGTATTTTCTAGTATGTATTTATTGCTTGAAAATTGCTGTGGAAATTAACTGATCGCTTATGTGGCATGGGATGAAACAGAATATGATCAATTACAGGGGCCTGTTAAATCTCCCAGAGCACAGGGCACTTGCAGGCTTAATTGAGATGAGGTGGATAAAAAGAGAAGAAAAAGATCAGAGGTTACTACAAAGAATATAAAAAGCACAAAGCATTTGAACACCTGTAGTGCAAACACCTGAACTGTGTTTACTAAGGCACATTTTCACTGGTCTATTGGATTAAGTTATATTTAATGTCTGGAAAGTGCAGAGCTGAAATGGTAACCCTTCTTTTTCCTCTAATTACTATAATTATCGCTGCAATGACTTCCACTGTAACGTCATATCTTTACAGTCACTTACAGTCTCAAATGAGTTCTCAACTTTCAGGGCTCACTCCTACAAAACCGTAGCCTTGAGAACCTAGGAGGTCTCTCATGTGCCTGGCAAAAATGATGGCTTACTGTTGTGGCTGTCTCTCATTTTGGCAGTCAGATTTGCTGTGGTTGATTTACTTTAAAGTACAGTGACACTGACTACTGAACCTGTCATAGTGCCAGTTGCTGTCCGTGTTACTTTATATCGTTATCTGGTTCTGTCTAACTTCGGCATAAAGCCGAGCGTTTCTGCTATTTCTAACAAAGGAATAGGCAGACTGGACTGCCCTCACTGGACCATCATTAATTTTGCCCATTTCTATATTTGGCAATCATCATGTGAGGCGACCTGAAGGTTACACCCCATGGGTTCCTGATGCTATTAGTACATTTATCAGTGCTGCCAGATACCAGCAACATCTGGAGAAAATTGCAAAATGCCTGCAGTACACATCAAATGTATGCGTTAGCAGTTGAAAAGATTGGCAATTCCCCTTATACTGCAAATTAACCCATAGAGATCAGAGTAAGTAAGTGGAATGCTAACAATTCAGTGATTGTTCCAGCATTGTTAGGCTGATAGTGGACTTTGTGAGCTGTCACTCCAGTGGTCATTACAACCGGTTATAAATCCAGCCAATCCTATATTGCACTAGCCATCGACCAGTTAACAATATGCTGTCAGCCAAGTGTTAAGTGCATGTGTATGAATTCAGTAGATGGATGCTGTTAACCTTGTTTCTCTTTGCTCTTTCTCTAGTGTGCATCGTGTGCTTTCCAGCTCCCCGAAGCCAATGTAAGTATGCGCCATAATAGAGAACATATTTATGGGATAGGTGTCAAGGTAACAGTAGATTCTGTTGTTTATACACTTCTTTTAAGAAAAAAAAAAGTCTGGAAATTAGACCTTAGCCGTTACAGACACGGAAAAAGTAAGAGCAGATGTTATTGTCCATTTCTATTATCTAGTTCAGTACTGCACACGTGGTGACATCTGGTTTTGAAATATAACAAAAAAAACTACTTCCAGCTATTGATGGGTTCAACAATGGCCCTTGATCATCTATACACTGTACTCACTTACTACTAACTGTTAAATGAGGAGGAACATTGCTCAATTCCCATTTCCTGGAATGTTTCCAAAATATAAAATTGTCTTTGTAGTTTTATTTCTCCATTTTTTTTTTAAATACAATGAATGATGCACTTTACCCTGGACCACCATAAAACTTCATTAATAAACAAATAGTTGGCAAAGTAACATATTATAATAGTTTACTACATTCATTGCATGTTTGATGAGCTTATTGGAGATGACAAGAATCAACAAGTTGTATAGGATAAGGCAACGTTTAATAAGAATTCTGATTTCTCAGTGGGTGAGGATCTGTCATTTCTAACACACAGCACCCTGTAATGTCCCAGACACTTTACTATAAAAATAAAGGACCTAAACACAATTGTTTATGCTGTACCATGACAAGTGTTATCTGCTGCTTTTGTTGTGATTGAAATTTGTAGACGTTCAGGCTGAAGAGTTAAATTCAGTGCTTCTTGAACTATATAACAGTTTGGGTAGCTATTTCTAGAAGTCATAAAACAATACATAGAGTTTTAAGACCATTAATTCCTTTGATGTCACAGGTCAATTGTGATGGCTTAAAGACTTTGGAATGTCTTTAATTAACAGCTGGATGACTGCAAGGCAGCTGTGCTTGACTTGCACTGCATATAGCTGACAAATTGTGCCCCTTTATTCCAGAATATCTGCAGGCCATTTCAGTGGCTCCGACTGAAACACTAGTTATCTTTTATTTTTAAACTGCTGGCAGATTGTACTTTGTCTCAGCTAATGCAATGTTTCTGCACAGAAGTGCTTTAGCTGATGCTTCCTTGGCCACTAAATTGCTAAGTGATCCTCGCGTTGGAAAGGTTTGGAGGGATAATGTAGAAGTGCTCTGCATTATCTTGGTAAAGGATGAGGAGCTGAGCTTTGGGTGCCAAAAAGAGCCCTGGGTTTTGTGAAACTTCATCAAAATGGTTTGACAGCACCCAAATACTCATTGCACAACCACTGCAGCATGACCATTTAATGTAGGTAATTTAGACAATAATTTAGGTATGGCTTGTCTACCATATGTTATGTCAAGCAGCTAATTTGTGAAATCTAGAGCAGGACTCAATGATATCATAATTATCGGCTAATCGGTAAGGATAATATGTATTCAGAGTAAGGCAAGAGATACAACTAACAATAGCACAGTAGATTCAAAAATATAGAGTATGAAAAGCTAGACATCTAGTTTTAGAATATTTAAAACACTACTGTTATGTCAAACAGCTAATTATAGTACATTTCTATAAAATATACATATATAAATGCAGTAATATGGCAAGTCAGCCAACTAGGAGGATACATATAATAGTGCTGTCAAGCATTTTAATGAGGATGATAATATATAATTTATAAGCTATGTGCTGAGATAGCAGGCTCCTGTTCAATCAGGATGGTGGTACCTGGATAAAGTACAGAAGGTTTTTAACCAGTATTGCCTCTCATGATCTCAATTAGGGCACAAGATGACTTTGATTGCATATTCCTGTTCATCAGATGTCGAACAGAGAAATAAAGTCCTTTGGAGATATGAGCACTGCATAACCACAGGGAAACTTAATCCTTGTGGTTAAGCAGAGCTCATTAACGTAGCAGAATGTGCAAAATCAACAGTGATCTTATCAATTATCAATGTATATACCAGGTAGCAAGGGACACTCCACCACACAGCAAAGTGGCTACCCAATCCAAAGCTAGGGAAAATGGTACTGGAGCCTTTACTAATTCAGATATACTGTTCTACTTTCATGTAGCAAAACACTGCAAACTCTGTGCTTACTCCGTGGCATTATTAAACAGCCCAGTAAATCATGACTACATCTCAGTAACTAGAACCCTTTCAGCAGAGAAATGTCAACTGGACTGGACCTCCGTAGTAGAATTGACCTATGCATGCTTTTGTCCATTTTTGAGGAGGGCTCATAGACTACATTTGTAAGACTGATCATGCCTTTATATACTCTATACTCTATGTCAATGATTTATGCATCTAGAACAGTATATGATATGCTGGGTCTGTCAGCCAATGTAAGTAGAGCAGTTTGAAACATGAAAAGCAGTGTTAGCTAGATCAAGCAGCTAACTGTACCACTTATATGTCAGTATAGATTATTACAAGCTATGACAGATTATTGGAAAATCCAAAAACGTATAACAAACCAGGCAGCAGTTTATAAACGTTGAGGAGGATTTTACAAAATATGGTATGCAGTACTCTCCCCCACAGCTGTATGTATGGGTCTGGAAAGAATGCCTCATGGTAGGTGATATAGGAAAGATGGACGTATTATTACAGGAATATCTTGTCTGCTGAGTTAAGATGGAAAATATTTCAGAACAAAAGCAGCTGTGTGTTGATACCAGGTGTTATATACCTTTAGGTTGGGTTTATAATATCTATCCTGCGCCAGGACTCACACATGGGAGGGAAAATGCATGTTTATATCTTTTTTCCTAATAACGTGGTCATTTCTTAGTTTTTATGCCTGCAGGGGTAGGGAGTAGTGCTGTACATGCTCCAGACGTCTGCAAATGAGTTATTAATGACCGATCGAACACACTGAAATAGCAACAAAGTGAAATCTGGTAGATGGTAGATAAGTACAACTTCTCTACACGTTCAGGCTTGAAACCTTAAGCCGAACCTCCTATATATAAAAAATAATTTTGTGTTCAAAGATATATATTACATATTAGGTATATAATATTTGTAGTGACTTAGATGAACACTCTAAGGTTAAGGAATACTTTCAAATAAACATTACACTTCCCTTTAATCCAGTACAAGGCAGTCTCCTATCAGCCTCCGCTCTGCCTTCTTTAGGATCATCAACATTGATTATCTTGTTCCAATCCAAATCTAATGCTGGGTGCACCCTGGTGCCCTTCCCCCATGCAAGTACTAAAACCATTAAAGGACCACTATAGGCACCCAGACCACTTCACTTTAATGAAGTGGCATGGGTGCCAGGACCATCTAGGGTTAACCCTGCAGCTGTAAACATAGGGTTAATCCAGCCTCTAGTAGCTGTCTCATTGACAGCCGCTAGAGGCACTTCCGTGCTTCTCACTGTGATTTTCACAGTGAGAAGATGCCAGCGTCCATAGGAAAGCATTGAGAAATGCTTTCTTATGGACTGACTGAATGCACGCGCGGCTCTTGCCGCACATGCGCATTCAGCGGATGATGTCGGAAGAGGGAGGAGAGTAAGGGAGCGAGTAAAGGTAAGAATTTAACCCCTTCCTCCCCCATCAGCCTTGTGGGATTGGGACCCTGAGGGAGGGGGGAGCCAAAGACCCTATAGAGCCAGGAAAACGAGTTTGTTTTCCTGGCACTATAGTGGTCCTTTAAGTAACATTCTGATTTGTTAACTTGGCTCCTCCAGGTGCTGCCCCCCGGTGGCATCGCTGGGGGGGGCAGAGGGGACCATGGCCCCCCCTACATCATGCTGTGCACCCCCTTGAGCCCCCCCAAATGCCAGCAACTTGCTGGCCATGTGCTTCAATTGTATTCCCTCGGGCTGTAACAGTCTGTTACAGCCCGAGGGAATGCAGGACAGAGGAGCTGGAACAGTGCTGGGTGTTTTCAGCAGCTTCCCCAGCACAGGCCCCGCCCCCAAATTAAACCCCACCTCCCGCACATAAGCCAGGTAGGCTTGATATGCTCAGGTGTGTGTGTGTATGGACTCAACAGTCTGTCTGTGTGTATGGACTCAGCAGTCTGTCTGTGTGTATGGACTCAGCAGTCTGTCTGTCTGTGTGGACTCAGCAGTGTGTGTGTATGGATTCAGCAGTCTGTGTGTGTGTATGGACTCAGCAGTCTGTATGTGTGTGTGTGTGTGTGTGTATTGACTCAGCAGTCTGTGTGTCTGTGTGGTCTCAGCAGTCTGTGTGTGTATAGACTCAGCGGTCTGTGTGTGTATGGACTCAGCAGTCTGTGTTTGTGTGTGTATGGACTCAGCAGTCTGTGTGTGTGTATGGACTCAGCAGTATGTGTGTGTATGGACTCAGCAGTCTGTGTGTCTGTGTGTGTGTGTGTATGGACTCAGCAGTCTGTCTGTGTGTATGGACGGACTCAGCAGTCTGTGTGTGTGTGTGGACTCAGCAGTCTGTGTGTGGACTCAACAGTCTGTGTGTCTGTGTGTGTATGTACTCAGCAGCCTCTGTGTGTGTGTGTGTGTGTGTGTGTGTGTGCGCGCATGTACTCAGCAGTCTCTGTGTGTGTGTGTGTATATGTACTCAGCAGTGTGTGTGTGTGTGTATGGACTCAGCAGTCTGTGTGTGGACTCAGCAGTATGTGTGTCTATGTGTGTATGTACTCAGCAGTCTGTGTGTGTATGTGTGTGTGTGATGTGTGTGTGTGGACTCAGCCTGTGTGTGTGTGTTGGACTCAGCAGTCTGTGTGTGTGTGTGTGTGTGTGTGTGTGTGTATGGACTCAGCAGTCTGTGTATGTGTGTATGGACTCAGCAGTTTGTGTGTGTGTGTATGGACTCAGCAGTCTATGTGTGTTTGTGTGTATGAACTCAGCAGTCTGTGTGTATGGACTCAGAATTATGTGTGTGTGTGTGTGTGTGTGTGGACTCAGCAGTCTATGTGTCTCTGGAGTAGGAGAGGTTCACCCACTGGAAGCTGGATCTTGGTCTTGGGTCCAGGGTGGGTGGAGGATGCCGTGTTCCCAGCAAAGCTGTAATGCTGGATGTGGGAACTACAGTGCTTATGGTGTCTGGTGGAGCCCTTGGAGTCCGCGGTGAGCACTAGGAGCATCAACTCACAGAGGCACCCGGTTGGGGTGCCAGGCGGTCCGTCACATATACCAACTAATAATCCACTTGGACAAACACTTGAATGGGGGATGCATACTCATCAGCCACAACATTAAAACCACTGAAGTGAATAACATTGATTATATTGTTACAATGGCAACTGTGAAGGAGTGAAATATATTAGGCAGCAAGTAAACAGTCAGTTCTTAAATTTCATGTGAGGCAAGCAGGAAAAATAGGCAAGAGAAAAGATCTGAATGACTTTGACAAGGGCCAAATAATGATGGCTAGACGATTGGGTCAGAGCGTCTCCGAAATGGCAAGTCTTGTGGTGTGTTCCTAGTATTCATTGGTTATTACCTACCAAAAGTGGTGCAAAGAAGGACAACCGGTGAACCTACATCAGGGTCATGGGTGCTGAAGTCTCATTGATGCACATGGGAAACGAAGGCTAGACCATCTGGTCCGATCAGACAAAATAGCTACTGTAGCTCTAGGTACTGAAAATTACTGGACATGATAGGAAGGTGTCAAAACACACAGTGCATCACAGTTTGCTGCATATGAGGCAGCGTGGCTGCAGACTGGTCAGAGTGCCCATGATGACCTCTGTCCACCGCCGAAAGCGCCTTCAACAGGAACGTGAGTGTCAGAACTGGACCTTGGAGCAATTGAAGAAGATTGTCTGACCTGATGAATCACGTTTTCTTTTAGATCAGGAGGATAGCTAGGTGCGTCGATTAACTGGAAGAGATGGCAGCAGGATGCACTATGGGAAGAAGGTAAGCCGAAGTAGACAGTGTTATGCTCTCGGCAATGTTCTGCTGTGAACCTTGTGTCCTGGCATTATATAATACCACCTACCTAGAGATTGTTGCAGACCACGTGTGAATGTTGTGAAAGTGTCTTAGCTCCTCAGCCGCCATCTTGTTCTTATATCAGCCATGTTTGCCCTCTGTGTGACTTTGTGTGCTTGACGGGTTAAGTATCGACATTTCTGGGCTCTTTGCTCCAAGTAGGTTTATAAGAAACCTGTTTTATCTATTCAATGATTAGAATGGAAATAGGCAAAGGTGGGTTATCACCTCAGGGTGGATGGTCAGAAGTGATTGATTCAGAAGTAGACTGAACGGACCATAGCAGGATGAGTAGGTTTAGAGGCAACTAATTACAGGGTACTGTGTTTTTTTTGCATACATCAAGATACTGATATTTTGTCACTATGCTGTTTCTGGCACTTAAGCTGCGTTCTTTAACTGTATATAAGATATGTGTTTTTCATATAGAGGGAGGGCAGTCTTCTTTGACACTCTCCTTGTGCACAAGCAATAAAGGAATCTCTGCTTATTCAACTCTTGTGTGAAGAACTTGTGTTTTACGTTAATGAGTATTTCACATACATACAACCCTTCATGGTGTTCCTTGATGGCAGTGGACACTTTCAGAAGGATAAAGCACCCTTGCACACTGTGAAAATTGTTTAGGAATGGTTTGAGGAGCAACAAAGAGTTCAAGGTGTTTCAAGGTCTTGCCTTGACCTCACAACTCCCCAGATCTCAATCTGATCTGTGGGATGTGCTGGAACAACAAATCCAAATCACAAAGGCCCAACCTCGCAACTTGCAGGACTTAAAGGATCTGCTGCTAATGTCTTGGTGCCAGATACCACAGGACACGTTCAGAGATATTTTATAGTCCATGCCTCAATGCATCAGAGTATTCAAGCAAAAAGTGTTTAGCTGTAGAAACATTTCCTAACTCAACTATAGTCACAATTCAAAGCATAGTGAATGAACCCCTAAATTAAAAGTATTATTTTATAATGATCATTATCTATTCATGTTTGTTTATATTTATGCTTGACCTCATTATACATATATGTTTTACAATTTTCATAATAATTATCCCCCTGTGTATTTCTGCAGGTGACAGTGGGACCCCAAGGACCCAGGGTAAGTGACTATGTATCACGTATGCATTGTGTGTGTGTGTCTGTAAATATATATATATATATATTCATATTCTTGTATTCTTCTGTATTTATTGAAGCTGCTTATTTTGCTAAGAACACTTGTCATCTAAGGGTTAACTAAACACTTGTCAATCAAAGAGCATAACACAGAAAGGTAGTTAAATGTAAATATGTTGTTAGAAATGAAGATTATAGTGCTTACAGTGAGACCCATAAAGCCAGATACACTAATCTTCTATGAGGCCCTGGCATGAAGATAACCTTGAGATTTTTAAAATGCTCAGAATTATTGCAAGTACTTAGCACTAACCTTTTTCACAAATTCTTTTTCAATTTGCTCAAGTTTATGGGTAACCTTGCTAGTCTCCTTTTTGAAAATTGAAAGCTTTAATTTAATTATGAACATCATATATATTCAGAGCAATGTTAACGAGTGCAACTAATGGCTGGAATAACCTCACCAGAGCACTCTCTTAGGTGTGATGCATTGAGAGGCCGGCGTGAGGATTGTTATCAAAAACAACTTTACATCTGAAATGCTGATGAGTTTTTTTAAACATCTCTCTAATTTGTGCCCTGAAAGCTCTGACATGCAAGTAAAAAAATATTGAAACTCTTTTAAAGAATTTGTACACTTTAGCTTAAAGAAACACACTTAGCACTATAATCACTACAGCTCACCATATTAATTGTGATGCCAAGAGTGAACTGCCCTCCCCCATCCCATTTTTAACTACCGTATATACTCGTGTATAAGTCGATCTCATGTATAAGTCCAGTGCAGTTTTGTGACCAACAATTGTGAAATATGCTATGCCTCGTGGATAAGTCGAGGGTAAAACTTGGGGCTATGAAATTCTGTGATTTCTATAATTATATACACACACACTCATACAAACACACACTCTGCATTATATATACACACACTCTGCATTATATACACACACACACACACACTCATACAAACACACACTCTGCATTATATACACACACTGTGTATATAATGCAGAGTGTGTGTTTGTGTAGTATGTGTGAACTGGGTGGGGGGAGGGCATTTTTATTATTTTTTTATTTTAATGTTATTATTTTTTTATTATTTTAATTTTATTTTGTCCCCCCTCCCTGCTTGTTAACTGGTCAGGGAGGAGGGCTATCTTAATCCCTGGTGGTCAAGTGGCATGGGCTGTGAAGTGGGGGGGCCGGCAGGAAGCATTTACTTACCTTTCCTGCAGCTCCTGTCAGCTCCCTTCTCCTCCGTTACGGTCAGCTCCGCTGTAAGTCTCGCGGTCTGGTTGCCGCGCGGATCGTTGCCATGGCTCTGACGGCCGCGGCTCTCTAAGTTGCCATAATACAGACAGTGACTCGAGTATAAGTCGAGTGTGGGTTTTTAAGCACAAAAAATGTGCTAAAAAACTAGACTTATACTCGAGTATATACTGTAGTCGAACTGTTTTTGACAGGTCTTCTTTTACTACTTTATTACTGGGTTCTGGCAGGAACCAATCCCCACCTCCACCACCAATGCTAGAGAACCAGAAGTTCCTAAGCAGGAAGTCCTCTAAGGCTTCCTGAATCAGACCCTTCAGATCACGCTCAGCCAATGAGCTAAGCCTTTAATTGCACTCCAAGACATTCCTGGCACCATAACCACTACACTACAATGTAATATTCTACATTTGAGACAATGTGTAACTTTGTCCCTTTCCCTTGCTTCCTATGTGTTGCTGAGAGGTCATGGATGTCCCTATTCTTGTCACATTTGTTCTTTTAGTGTAACACTGTGGAGAAATGTAGCTGTTTGTTTTTTAATTTATAAACAGTAATAATTTTAAATTAATGTTTACTTTGGAACATAATAATAGGAAGATTTTTGAATGTTACTTTGGTCCTTGAAAAGTATGGTAATTTTGAAACTAAAGTTTTACGTAAACCTACAGATATGAATGCCCTCTCTACATATATATATATATATATATATATATACACACACACACACACACACACACACACACACATATATATACACACACACACACACACACACACACGAAAAAAGTATTTGATCCCCTGCTGATTTTGAACGTTTGTCCACTGACAAAGAAATGATCAGTCTATTATTTTAATGGTAGGTGTATTTTAACAGTGAGAGATAGAATAAACAAAAATCCAGAAAAATGCATGTCAAAGAAGTTATAAATTGATTTGTATGTCAATGAGTGAAATAAGTATTTGATCCCCTATCAATCAGCAGGATTTCTGGCTCCCAGGTGTCTTTTATCCAGGTAACAAGCTGAGATTAGGAGCACTCTCTTAAAGGGAGTGCTCCTAATCTCACTGTAGCATACATATAGCATACAATAGGGCATTAACCCCTTAAGAATGGGGTGCTATGCCGTCCTTGGGGACCAGGCTCTAAACGCCGGCGGGCGGCACACCGGCAATCATGATGGGGGGACTTACCTAACATCCCAGGGAGTCCCCCTACTGCCGATCCAACCCTACTGGGCCATGTGATCACGTGGTCCTTGAGAGGACCTCACGATCACATGGACGGAATAGCTGTCCATAGCAGTGCCAGCAAGGGGAGTGCCTGGAATGACAGGTAGTGCCCCTGCTGCCTGAAATAAAATGAAATAAAGTTTTAAACAGTGTAAAATAAAACAATATATACTTAGATCATATATATATATGTGTGTGTATAGTATATATATGATCTAAGTATATATATATATATATATATATATATACACACACACTTACACATACATACACATACACTGTCTAAGAGTATTTTAATATTAATATATATATATATATATATATATATATATATATATATATATATATTAATATTAAAATACATATAACTATATATATATATATATATATATATATAAATATCAAAATACACGTAGAATTATATTAATTAAATATATATATATACATAATAAAAAATAAATATAAATACATGAAAAAGAAAAAACAAATAATTAAAATATATATATATGTGTATAATTCCGTTCTAACTGTATTTTGATATTAACATTAATATATATATATATATATATATAATGATATAAAAATACACTTAGAACACAATAATATATATATCTATATACATAAATATATATGTATATATCGCTATATATAAATAAAAATAATTTTTTAAAAATTATATATATATATATATATATACACACACACACACACACACATATATATATATATATATATATATATATATTTATCTTTTTTATTCTACATATATTTATATAATATTTTTACATAATGAAGTCTTTTTTATTAGTTACAATTTGAAGGACCTGCGTGATAACCCAGGCAGAAAGGCAAGAGAATTTAATTTGCTAGCACTATATTTAACCCTGTAACTTTCCAAGACACCATAAAACCTGTACATGGCGGGTACTGTTTTACTCGGAAGACTTCGCTGAACACAAATATTAGTGTTTCAAAACAGTAAAATGTATTACAACGATGATATCATCAGTGAAAGTGACATTTTTTGCATTTTTTCCACACACAAACGGCACTTTCACTGATGATATAATTGTTGTGATACGTTTTACTGTTTTAAAACACTAATATTTGTGTTTAGCGAAGGCTCCCGAGTATAACAGTACCCCTTTTTTTATGGTGTTTTCAAAAGTTACAGAGTCAAATATAAGGCTTGTGTTTCAGTTTTTTTACATTGAAATTCACCAAATTGGTTACGTTGCCTTTGAGACCATATGGTAGCCCAGGAATGAGAATTACATGCATGATGGTATACCATTTGTAAAAGTAGACAACGCAAGGTATTGCAAATGGGGTATGTCTAGTCTTTTTAGTAGCCACTTAGTAACAAACACTGTTCAAAAGTGGCGTTCAAATTAGTTTTTTTACATTTTTCACACTAATTTGAACGCCAATTTTAGACAGTGTTTGTGACTAATTGGCCACTAAAAAATACTGGACACACCCCATTTGCAATACCTTGGGTTGTCTACTATTGCAAATGGTATGCCATCATGGGGGTAATTTTCATTCATGGACTACCATACGATTTCAAAGGCAACATAATCAATCTGGCAAATTTCAATGTGAAAAAACTGAAAAATGTAATATGCTATGTTTGACCCTGTAACTTCCCAAAACACAATAAAATCTATACATATGGGGTACTGTTTTACAGGCGAGACATCACTGAATAGAAATATGTGTATTTTATTGCAGTAAAAGCAAACAGTATTATGACACTCACAATTCAAATGTCATGCAGAACTAAAAAAAATACATTTCTTAATTTCTCACTTTATATTTTATTCATATTAAATCATGTTTCATAGCTAAATATTTGATGTTAAATGAAAGCCCTATTTCTCCTGAATAAAATGATATATAATAAGTGTGGGTGCATTTAATATGAAAGAGGTGAATTACAGTTGAACAGACATATAGTCAAATTCCAGGTTTTGTTTATGTTTTATTTTGATCAAACCGTGTACATTTGGCTCAGTCCTTAAGGGGTTAAAGCAGAAGTGAAGGGATTTCATTTTGAACGTGGGAAAACAAAAATGGTGGTAAGACTGTGATATTTGGTATACATTACCGTAATTAATGTGTTTTAATTAAAGCTATTATCTATAAAATCTTACAAACATTATTAGGTTATGAAACATTGCCCCCCATTGTGAGGGAGGGAATGTATATAGTAGGGAAATGTATTATCTTCTAGTTTATGTAAATGGCATATGATTGGTTGTTTAAAAGTTTAGAAGATTGTTGATTATCACATAAAGACAATTTTAGACATGGCAAACACCAATGTAAATGTCATTTTCCTTCTAAATTAGATATTTTACATCTAACGTAACCAGTAAGTGTATAGTATGAAGTCATACCAGTAAATGTTTATAAAGTCATACCAGTAAATGTTTCAGTATGAAGTCATACCAGTAATTGTTTAGTATGAAGTCATACCAGTAAATGTTTAGTATGAAGTCATACCAGTAAATGTTTCAGTATGAAGTCATACCAGTAATTGTTTAGTATGAAGTCATACCAGTAAATGTTTAGTATGAAGTCATACCAGTAAGTGTTTAGTATGAAGTCATACCAGTAAATGTTTATAAAGTCATACCAGTAAATGTTTCAGTATGAAGTCATACCAGTAAATGTTTAGTATGAAGTCATACCAGTAAATGTTTCAGTATGAAGTCATACCAGTAAATGTTTAGTATGAAGTCATACCAGTAAGTGTTTAGTATGAAGTCATACCAGTAAATGTTTCAATATGAAGTCATACCAGTAAATGTTTATAAAGTCATACCAGTAAATGTTTCAGTATGAAGTCATACCAGTAAATGTTTATAAAGTCATACCAGTAAATGTTTCAGTATGAAGTCATACCAGTAATTGTTTAGTATGAAGTCATACCAGTAAATGTTTCAGTATGAAGTCATACCAGTAAATGTTTAGTATGAAGTCATACCAGTAAATGTTTAGTATGAAGTCATACCAGTAAATGTTTCAGTATGAAGTCATACCAGTAATTGTTTAGTATGAAGTCATACCAGTAAATGTTTAGTATGAAGTCATACCAGTAAATGTTTCAGTATGAAGTCATACCAGTAATTGTTTAGTATGAAGTCATACCAGTAAATGTTTAGTATGAAGTCATACCAGTAAGTGTTTAGTATGAAGTCATACCAGTAAATGTTTATAAAGTCATACCAGTAAATGTTTCAGTATGAAGTCATACCAGTAAATGTTTAGTATGAAGTCATACCAGTAAATGTTTCAGTATGAAGTCATACCAGTAAATGTTTAGTATGAAGTCATACCAGTAAGTGTTTAGTATGAAGTCATACCAGTAAATGTTTCAATATGAAGTCATACCAGTAAATGTTTATAAAGTCATACCAGTAAATGTTTCAGTATGAAGTCATACCAGTAAATGTTTAGTATGAAGTCATACCAGTAAATGTTTCAGTATGAAGTCATACCAGTAAATGTTTAGTATGAAGTCATACCAGTAAGTGTATAGTATGAAGTCATACCAATAAATGTTTAGTATGAAGTCATACCAGTAAATGTGTCAGTATGAAGTCATACCAGTAAGTGTTTAGTATGAAGTCATACCAGTAAATGTTTCAATATGAAGTCATACCAGTAAATGTTTAGTATGAAGTCATACCAGTAAATGTTTCAGTATGAAGTCATACCAGTAAATGTTTAGTATGAAGTCATACCAGTAAATGTTTCAGTATGAAGTCATACCAGTAAGTGTTTAGTATGAAGTCATACCAGTAAATGTTTCAGTATGAAGTCATACCAGTAAATGTTTCAGTATGAAGTCATACCAGTAAATGTTTAGCATGAAGTCATACCAGTAAATGTTTCAGTATGAAGTCATACCAGTAAATGTTTAGTATGAAGTCATACCAGTAAATGTTTCAGTATGAAGTCATACCAGTAAATGTTTAGCATGAAGTCATACCAGTAAGTGTTTAGTATGAAGTCATACCAGTAAGTGTTTAGTATGAAGTCATATGAAGTTTGTAATTTCTTTAAACATATGCGTAATGTGCAATGTCTGCTTTGTCAGGAAGACAGAGAGAAAACTTAAACTGAGGAATAGGAAGTATTTGAATAGTATTGAAAGCAATAATATCGAGGAAATATATGTTGGGATATAATGGGACTTCAGATCACTTGTTCAGCCATTTAACTCTTGAGTCTGATTATCACAGAAACTATCTTTAAATAGGTTGTAATATGTGTGGTCAATTGAAACCCTGGAAAAATGTGCGTTCACATGAGTTCTAGTTCTTCATTTAATGTATTTATTTACATACATCAAAGTTTAAAAAAAACAGCAGGTATAGCAAGAGAGTCACCACAGGTTGTCATGAGAATTATGAATTATAATAGAAAACACTCCTTTGGAAAAACACATAAATTAGATTTTTTTGTTGTTAAATTTCTTAAAAAATGGTACAACTTACTTTACCTATTAAGTACTTACAAGTTGATAAAGTTCTGGGCAGAAAGGTGTCAAGAAATAAGTAAGGTTACCAGGGGTGGACTGACAACTCACAGGGCCCTCGGTCAATAGGAGATCAAGCGGCCCCCTCCGGGTGCAGGGTCTTTGGCAGCTCCCCCACAGATAATATGTGCGCACTACCCAGCATGGCTGTGTGAGTCATGACATCCCCCAAACAGGGCCAGATATACCTTAGGGGGTTAATCCAACCTAAAACGGTGTTTTAATAAAACATTATTTTTGAATGGAGTACCCCTTACTAGCTTGCCTTACTCCCCACCTCCCCCCCTTTTAAAAAAAAAAGAAATAAAGCAAATTTAATTAGACCCTTCCTCTGTGTTTGTTGGTGACATCACAAGCAGCATCCCCCACATGTTCAACCATACAAGTAGCCTCCAAACACATCTTTACGAAGAAAGTCTAGTTACCTATCAACACAACTATGAATTAGGAATTAAAATTGGACGTCAAAGGCGCAGTAAAGAGCTATTAGCCTGTGTAGCTCATTGCCCACACATAATTAAAAGAGAGGATTTAATAAACATCTTGTGTGGAATTGTACCACCCCCAAAGAGCTCATGTGTTCCTCTACAAATGTCTGAAGTGGTTCCTGACGTGGACGAAAGTAAGACTCAAAAGCGCACCATGGCCCAGTGCAGTGATTTATTTACAATCACCACCCTGCAAACGGAAAAAAACCATCTAACCTCCAAAATAAATTGAAACATGCTGATTGGACTCACATACTCCTAAACACTCTGATAAAACCCTTCTTAGCCTTGAATTGTTTAGAGAACAGTGATTGAAAAATAAAAATTTAAGAATTAATATATGAACAAATTACTTATTATTATACATTTTATTTTTTCTTGTGTACTTTGTGAGTAGTTAAATAAGTATTCATTTTATTTTAAACTGATAATTTAATGTTTTATGCTATCAACAAAACAACTTTAACAATCCCTTTAAAGATTTTTAAATAATTAAATTAATAATTAAATGTGCATTCCCCATCATGAAGCTGGCAATCTCCAAATGGAGATTCAGGAGTCAAGATCTGATCACACTTTCAGTGAAAGGAAGCGTCAGTGTTTGACATGGGTACAGCAGCAGGGGGAGGAGAAATATCATTGGGAGGCCGGACAGCATCAGGAGAAACTCTGGGCTAACTGCAGAATTTGTGATAATTTAATGTTTTATGGTGATAATTTTTTGTTTTATGCTACTTTAAAGGACCACTTGTTTTCCTGGCACTATAGTGCCCTGAGGGAGCCCCCACCCTCAGGATCCCCCTCCCGCCGGGCTCTAGGGTGAGGAAGGGGTTAACCTTACCTCGTTCTCCAGTGCCAGGCGGGGAGCTCTCCTCCTCCTCGGCTGAATGCGCGCATTCAGCCAGTCCATAGGAAAGCATTCTCAATGCTTTCCTATGGACGCTGGCGTCTTCTCACTGTGAAAATCACAGTGAGAAGCACACAAGCGCCTCTAGCGGCTGTCAATGAGACAGCCACTAGAGGCTGGATTAACCCTAATATAAACATAGCAGTTTCTCTGAAACTGATATATTTATAGAAAAAAGGGTTAACCCTAGCTGAACCTTGCACCCAGACCACTTCATTAAGCTGAAGTGGTCTGGGTGCCTATAGTGGTCCTTTAACAAGGACTTTAAAGTGAACCTTTAGTCTTATATTGATCTTTAGCTAGATAAAAATATTTAAATTAATAATTAAATAGGGACATGCGTGGAACTCATGTGCATTCCCCATCATCAAGCTGGCCAACTCCACACAGGTAGACATGCTATACTGCAGATATACATCATCTAAATGCCCATAGTCTGTCTGACAAGGAGTCAGGGGGAAGCTATAATTTCAACTAAATATTGGAAAATCTATTAATTTGCTAGATATATTGCTTGCACCATGTATAGATAAAATAATTACACAGTAACTGGCAGGAGGGGATGCGCTTCCCTCCTGCCGGTCACAGAATGTAGCGTGGCAGAGCAGGCAGACCACAGTAGAGGAGCTTCTGACAGGAAGTGCTCACAGACTGCTTCTTGTTAGACCGGGTAAGGGAACAGAAACTCTACCTGCTCGGCCACGCTACAACAAGGTACAGGCCTACAGGGAGAGTGGGGGGAGGCTATAATGGGACACATGAGGGCTATAATGAGACACATTGGGGCTGGAGAGGGGGATATAATGGGACACATTGGGGCTGGGGAGGCTATAGGGACACATGGGGGCTAGGGAGGGGGCTATAATGGGATACTAGGGGGCTATAGGGACACATGGGGGTATAATGGGACACATGGGGGCTGGGTGGTTATAGAGACACATGGGGGCTAGGGAGGGGCTATAATGGGACACATGGGGCTATACGGACACATAGGGGCACAGTGACACATGGGGCTATATAGGGACACATGGGGATGGGGAGGGGGCTATAGGGACACATGGAGGGATGGGAGGGGGGATAGGAACACATGAAGGGCTGGGAGGGGGCTAGTGGGACACATGGAGGGCTGGGAGAGAGGGCTAATAGGACACATGGGGGCTAGGGAGGGGCTATAATGGGACACATGGGGGCTATAGGGGCACATGGGGTTATAGGGACACATGGGGGCTATATGGACACATAGGGGCACAGTGACACATGGGGCTATAGGGACACATGGGGGCTATAGGGACACATTGGGCTGGGGGAAGGGGCTATAGGGACACATGGAGGGCTGGGAGGGTAGTAGGAACACATGAGGGCTGGGAGGGCTAGTGGGACACATGGAGGGCTGGGAGAGAGGGCTAACAGGACACATGGAGGGCTTGGTGCTAATGGGACACATGGGGGGCTCATGGGACTCATGTGGGGATGCTGCTGAGACAAATGGGAGGGCTAAGAAGACATACAGGGCTCGGAGGGGGCTAATGGGATGCATAGAGGGCTGGGAGGGGGTATAGGGACACATGGAGGGCTGGGAGGGGGTATTGGGACACATGAAGGGCTAGGAGAAGGGCTAGTGGGACACATGGAGGGCTGGGAGAGAGGGCTAACAGGACACATGGAGGGCTGATTGCTAATGGGACACATGGGGGGGGCTAATGGGACTCATGTGGGGATGCTGCTGAGACACATGGGAGGGCTAATGGGATGCATAGAGGGCTGGGAGGTGGTATAGGGACAGGGCTCGGAGGGGTGCTGGGAGGGGGTTTAGGGGCACATGGAGGGCTGGGATGGGGGTATTGGGACACATGAAGGGCTGGGAGGGGGTATAGGGACATATGGAGGGCTGGGAGGGAGGGCTAATAGTACAGATGGGGGCTAGGGGCTATAGGGACACATGGGTGCTGGGGAGGGGGCTATAATGGGACACATGGGGGCTATAATGGGAGACATGGGGGCTGGGTGGTTATAGAGACACATGTGGGCTAGGGAGGGGCTATAATGGGACAAATGGGGGTTGTAGGGGCTATAGAAACACATGGGGGCTGGGAATGGGGTTATAGGGACACATGGGGGCTATACGGACACATAGGGGCATAGGGACACATGGGGGCTGGGGAGGGGGCTATCGGGACCCATGTGGGCCGGGGAGGGGGCTATAGGGACACATGGAGGGCTGGGGTCTATAGGGACACATGGAGGGCTGGGAGGGGGTATAGGGACACATGAAGGGCTGGGAGGGGGACTAGTGGGACACATGGAGGGCTGTGAGAGAGGGCTAATAGGACACATGGAGGGCTGGGTGCTAATGGGACACATGGGGGGGCTCATGGGACACGTGGGGATGCTGCTGAGACACATGGGAGGGCTAATAAGACATACAGGGCTCAGGGTGGGTTAATGGGATGCATGGATGGCTGGGAGGGGTTATAGGGACACATGGAGGGCTTGGAGGGCTAGTAGTACACAAGGAAGGCTGGGGGTTAATGAGACACACAGAGAGTCTGTGGAGAAAAAAGACACAGAGAGGTCTGGGGAGAAAGAGACAGAGGGGCTGAGAAAGATGAACAAAAGACACACAGAGGGACTTGGAAGGGGAGAATGAGACACACAGAAACTGTGGAGAAAGAGACACACAGAGATGCTGGGCCTGGGAAAGAAACAGTAGGGCTGGGGAAGGGGAGAAAGAGACAAAGGGGCTGGAGCTACGAGACACATGAAAGGGCTTGGGGGAGAAAGACACAAACAAAGTGCATCTTCACTTGTGTCTTCTGCTCTCCCTGTAATTTAGAGTTGACCGGTGAGAGAAAGACTTTGTATTAAAGGGTCACCAGAACTACTCCAGTTTAATGTAGTGGTTATGGTGTCTATAGCCTGTCCCTGTAGGCTGAGCACTGTAAATGCTACCTTTTTAGAGAAAAGGCAGTGTTTACATTGCTGCCTAGGAACATCTCTAGTGACAGTCACTCAGATGGCCACTAGAGCTGCTTCCTAGTCCAGTGCTGCAAAGTGTGCTGAACTTCCAACTTGGTGCTACTTCCAAGTGCTGTTTCTAAGTGTCTAGTTGGCGATATTCTGGAGAGTTTTACAGAAGCTTCAACTGTCTAAGAGTTGTGCTAAGAGCTTTCTTTTCTACTGTTACAGGTAAGATTCATCTGTAGGAAAAGGTTACTGATTGCCCAAGGTTTGAATTCCTGTTGGTAATTATAAGGCATTTGATTTGATTAAGCTAGTTACTTGCTGTTGATTGCTGGTTAATTAGCTATTGTTTGCAAATAAGCAGAGGCCTACTCAGGTGTTAAACATTCCTAGTGGGCGGTGATTTAAGGAGTTATATAAGGCTTGGTCTCATTAGCTTGTCTAATATAGCTTGGTGCTACTTCCAAGTGCTGTTTCTAAGTGTCTAGTTGGAGATATTCTGGAGAGTGCTGTTTCTAAGTGTCTAGTTGGAGATATTCTGGAGAGTGCTGTTTCTAAGTGTCTAGTTGGAGATATTCTGGAGATAACCTGGAGGTAATCTGAGGTATTCAGGAGGATAAAGAAAAAAGTTAAGATTTGTTAAGATTTAAATTATTCTCATAATTGGAATGGCAGGCTTAGTTCAGTGTAACAATTGCTATGCATTTGTTTCACGTTCCACTTTTTGGAGGTTTGGTTGTTGTCTTATCTGTAGACAGTTCTCTATTTTGCGGCAGGAGATTGTATTTTTGAAGTCTGAGATTTGTAAATTATCTGGTGTAGAAACTCAGACTGGAACTGCTGCAAAGCCACTGCCGCAGAGACATGTTAGGAAAGGCAGATGGATTACTGTAGGATCTGGTAGACTTAGAGTTGTGGATAAAAGGCATTTTGCACAGTCTGTTGCTCTTCATAATTCATTTTCTGCACTTTCAGAGTGTAATGTTGTTGTGGAGAGAGGCAATGAGGCTTGTGGTGTTGTGGAGAGAGGCACTGAGGCTTGTGGTGTTGTGGAGAGAGGCACTGAGGCTAGTGGTGTTGTGGAGAGAGGCACTGAGGCTAGTGGTGTTGTGGAGAGAGGCACTGAGGCTAGTGGTGTTGTGGAGAGAGGCACTGAGGCTAGTGGTGTTGTGGAGACCATGGAGACTATGGTGAGGCCTAATAGAAAGCAGTTGTTGTTGGGGGATTCCATCATAAGAGGTGTGGAGATGGACAATGGTGGTCTTGTGAGGTGTCTTCCCGGAGCTACTGCTCACAGAGACAGGAGACGTATCTGTAATATTGTTAAGCAAGCAAAGCAGGAAGGGGAATTGGATGTACTTGTCCATCTAGGGACAAATGACTTGGCTTGCAATGAGGTTTCAGAGGTTAAGGAAGTTTTTAGTGTTTTGCCAATGATATACGGCAGGTTGCTTCCACACTGTCATTCTCTGAAGTTCTGCCTGTGCATAACACTCAGAATGACAGGCGGATGCGTATTACGGACTTTAATTTGTGGCTTGGTGAATGGTGTCGGGAGCAAGGATTTGGCTTTATTTCTCATGGTAACTCTGTTTGGAATGGAGATAAGCTGTACAAAAAAGATGGTTTGCATCTTTCTCAAAAGGGAACAAATGTTCTCAGTGAGCAGTTCAGAGGTTTTACTAGGATGTATTTAAACTGGGGGGGTGGCAAAAGGGTGATAAAAAAACATCAATCCAATTGTCCCCCAAAACAAGGAGAGAAGGTGCCTGTAGCAAGTGTGTTAAAAAATGATAAGCTTAGAGTCATGTCTACAAATGCTCGCAGTTTAGGGAATAAGATCCATGAACTTGTAGCAATAATGGCAACTGATAGTGTAGATTTAGTCGCTGTTACTGAGACATGGTATAATGAGAAAAATGACTGGGACATAGCAATACCAGGGTACTCTTTATATAGAAAAGGCCAGGCAAAAGAGAAAGGGGAGGGTGGCCTTGTATGGCGAAGGACCAGCATAAAAATCTAGCCTAATAAAAGTTAGTGAGGCAAACATAGAGTCCGTTTAGGCCTACGTTAAATTTAGTATCCCACAGTAACTGGAAACATGAAATTGTGATTTATAGGCCCCAGGACAAATTGAAGGGATTAGATAATCTACACTAGTTGAGAAATAGCTAAAATGACAATGAAGGGGAGGTATACATCATGGGTGACTTTAATCTTCCTGATGTAAGTGGAAAACAAAAGGAAATTAGCTACTTGTGCCAGGAGCACACATATTTAAACTCCCTACTGGGATTGTCTCTAAAACAAGTTGTTGAGGAGCCAACTTCGTAAAGAGGCCATACTAGATTTAGTGGTAACAAATGGAGATTTGGTATCAGATGTTACTGTAGGTGAAAGTTTAGGATCCAGTGATCATCAGTCAGTGTGGTTTAATATAAGAACAGTGACTGAGTCACACCACACAAAAACAAAAGTTTTAGACTTTAGAAAAACAGACTTTTCTAAAATTACAATATGGGTAGAGGCGTCATTATCAGACTGGAGCAATTTAAATGGAGTCCAAGAAAAATGGGATTATTTAAAAGTTGCTCTATTGAAGGCAACAGAAAATTGCATTAGGCCTGTCAGTAAAAGCAAAAAATTCAAGAAGCCACTGTGGTACTCCGCAGATGTGGCCAAAATAGTTAAAAACAAAAAGCATTTAGGAATTATAAAAAAACCCAGAGTGAGGGAGACAAAATGATCTATAAGATTAGGCAGAAAGAGGCTAAGCAAGTTATAAGAGCTTCCAAATCACACACAGAAGAGAAAATAGCACAGTCAGTAAAAAAGGGGGATAAAACATTTTTTAGATACATAAATGAGAAAAGAAAAGTAAAACAAGGATTAGTTAGATTAAAAACAAAAGAAGGAAGGTATGTAGAAGAGGATAAAGGTCAGGCTGACTGCCTCAATGAATATTTTTGTTCTGTATTTACAGAAGAAAATGAAGGAAAGGGACCTCAGTTGAGAAAAAGGATAAATGAGTCATTTATTACACATGAGTTTACAGAGGAAGAGGTTCTATTTCAACTGTCAAAAGTAAAGACAAATAAGTCAATGGGACCTGATGGAATACACCCAAAGCTATTAAAAGAGCTTAGTGGTGTACTAGCAAAACCATTAACAGATTTATTTAACCAATCATTGTTAACAGGAGTAGTCCCAGAAGATTGGAAGTTAGCGAATGTTGTGCCCATTTACAAGAAAGGTAATAGGGAGGAGTCGGGCAACTATAGGCCAGTAAGCCTTACTTCAGTAGTGGGGAAAGTGATGGAAACCATGTTAAAGGATAGGATTGATGAACATCTAAAAACACATGGATTTCAAGATCAGAGACAACATGGGTTTACTTCAGGGAGATCATGCCAAACTAATCTTATTGATTTTTTTGATTGGGTAACTAAAACTATAGATCAGGGTGGTGCAGTAGACATTGCTTACCTAGATTTCAGTAAGGCTTTTGACACTGTTGCACATAGAAGGCTTATCAATAAACTGCAATCTTTAAGTTTGGATTCCAATATTGTTGAATGGGTAAGGCAGTGGCTGAGTGACAGGCAACAGAGGGTTGTAGTTAATGGAATATATTCGAAGCTTGGACTTGTCACCAGTGGGGTACCTCAGGGATCTGTACTTGGACCCATTCTCTTTAATATTTTTATTAGTGATATTGCAGAAGGTCTTGATGGTAAGGTATGTCTTTTGCTGATGATACTAAGATATGTAACAGGGTTGATGTTCCAGGAGGGATAAGCCAAATGGACAAATGATTTAGGTAAACTAGAAAAATGGTCAGAGTTGTGGCAACTGACATTTAATGTGGATAAGTGCAAGATAATGCATCTTGGATGTAAAAACCCAAGGGCAGAGTACAGAATATTTGATAGAGTCCTAACCTCAACATCTGAGGAAAGGGATTTAGGGGTGATTATTTCTGATGACTTAAAGGTAGGCAGACAATGTAATAGAGCAGCAGGAAATGCTAGCAGAATGCTTGGTTGTATAGGGAGAGGTATTAGCAGTAGAAAGAGGGAAGTGCTCATGCCATTGTACAGAACACTGGTGAGACCTCACTTGGAGTATTGTACACAGTACTGGAGACCGTATCTTCAGAAGGATATTGATACCTTAGAGAGGGTTCAGAGAAGGGCTACTAAACTGGTTCATGGATTGCGGGATAAAACTTACCAGGAAAGGTTAAAGGATCTTAACATGTATAGCTTGGAGGAAAGACGAGACAGGGGGGATATGATAGAAACATTTAAATATATAAAGGGAATCAACACAGTAAAGGAGGAGACTATATTTAAAAGAAGAAAAACTACCACAACAAGAGGACATAGTCTTAAATTAGAGGGACAAAGGTTTAAAAATAATATCAGGAAGTATTACTTTACTGAGAGGGTAGTGGATGCATGGAATAGCCTTCCAGCTGAAGTGGTAGAGGTTAACACAGTAAAGGAGTTTAAGCATGCATGGGATAGGCATAAGGCTATCCTAACTATAAGATAAGGCTAGGGACTAATGAAAGTTTTTAGAAAATTGAGCAGACTAGATAGACCGAATGGTTCTTATCTGCCGTCACATTCTATGTTTCTATGTTTCTATGTTTCACTTGATGATGCAATGCATCTCTATGAGGAGATGCTGATTGGTGCAGTGAAGCACAGCGTTTTGCCACACATGCGCAATAGCCTCCCAATGCTTTCCTATGGGAATTGAATTGGCATTGACTGAGATCATCCAGTTGTCAGCCAAAGTGAAGAGCACACTTGTGTTACTTCAAAATGAGCAAGATAACGTCATTTTTTTTACTGCTGTGCAATAGCATATATTCACAATGTCAGTCCAATTATGAAACTTTCCTTAATATGTCAAGGTAGTTGTACTAAAACATTGATTATTTGCAAATGCACGTCTGCTTACAACAAATCCGCTCTTTTGTTTATTTTGAAGCTCTATGAATGTTTTCTTTTACGTTTGAGAGATCGTTTTCAGTTTTAAGGTTTTTTTTTTCTGCTTTCATATTTGCACACTGGTGCGATGCATTATGGGGCTGATATATGATTTTCATTTCCAGTCCGGCCCTGGCTTAATGGTTCTTATCTGCCGTCACATTCAATGTTTCTATGTTTAAACATTAACTAAATTTGCTTCATCTGAGTCTTTATATTGTTGGAGATGTAACAAAGATTTGGGTATGCTAGAAAATTAAACATGTATGGCATAAGGTTTTTGCAATAGTTTCAGATTTTAAACACTAAAAGTTAGCTCCCTAACCAGAGACAGTGTTGCTATATGCTGCCCATAGCAACAAAAAAAAAAGCATTTTTGATTCATGGTGGTTAAAATTTGTATCACCAGGAAATGGAAAGACCATAGATCATTAAAATAGGATATTGTGAAAAATCAGATTAACCATCAAGCAACGATGGAAAAAGGTGTTTTTAACGCAAAGAATAAGTATTGCGAATATGCTCATATTTGGAATGTCTGCTTGCAAAAATTCCCTCTATACTGATATTAAGTAACCTTGAGAATAAAAACCAAAATCAAGCTTTTAATGTAATTTTGAGCTGGATACTAATTTATATAAGCTGTAGATTCATGGATAAACTATGGTAGTGATTTACTTGGATATTGACCATAGGGATTGCAACACAGCAAGTAAAATTGGAATGTGTGATTTAGTGATTTAATTTTTGATGGTTTTATCCCTTTTTTTTATGAATAGGAATGTTTGATGTATGTCTATATTTGTATATTTTTGTATTGAAATATAAAAGAATTAAAAAGAAAATTAAATCTTGAATATTAAACATTAACAGCCCTTCAAATAATTTTCCAACCATATATACACAGAAGTCTGTAGCTTTTGGGTTGAGCTTATAAACCCTTTTTAAGTATTGGCACCACGTCGGCTTTTATGCTCTGGTATAATTCCTGAAACAAAAGAATCCTAAAAGCTTAAAAACAGTGATATGGATATTTCTACAATAAGCTCACTAAGCACGCATTGGTGAATAGCTTTAATTAATTTATGTAGCACTTTATCCTGTGTTAACCAATCACCTGATTATACTTCCCTCTATACTAAAGAAAAAATAGAATGTCTGCCTTGTCCTGATCCTCATTGTTAAACTAACTTTAACAATTAACCTTTTTGGCATTAACGTACTTAAAAAACATTTTGTGGGGGCGGAGCCTGACAGCCGCGCTGACTGGTCGCACATCTTGTGAGCTCTGAGGAAAAATTGCTAAATTAGCCTCAAAGAGACTAAATTGCCTGCTTCCAGCCTGACTGTTCATTACCAACCTCGCCTGGAGACAGGCCGGAGCTCATACTTTGGGTTTCAGACCGAGATCGGCAGCTGTAAGTGGGAGCAGACGTGTGGCCTACCAAAGTCCTACTCACAGTAATTGTGGGGAAGGCGGCCGATCCCTCAGCATTGTTATGGGCAAACTGACAAGGTGTTAGAAATGGAACATATTGTTTTTCATAACTGTTTCTTTAAGCAACAACTTCTTACCTAATAGAGCAATAATATGTGTACACCATTTTGTCCCAGACGAATTACAATAACAATAATGCATAAACAAGCTTCAAGGCTATGCTACGACTCTTTCAGTACACAATATACTGTGGTAACCCTGAGTAGATAAGGATGTTTAGACTTTAAGATGCCATCTAGAACTAAGTCAGGAAAATCTCCATGACGTATACACCCTTTAGTCATGGCCTTGTATGTTTGCCAAATTAAGGGAGGTCCTAAAATAAATAAAGTAAACACCACAGGTGGCAAAGACCACGAAACACACCTCAAAACAAACTGTGAACAGTCTTACTCCCCGGCTACGAGAGACAAGCCCTAGGATTTCCAAGCGAGCAGCAGGCAGATATACTCAGAGGAAAGCCCAGAAACTGGGATAACTGAGGACCCTCCTAATGGGGGGTCCCGTTATCACCAGGCACTGCTTAACACCAAGGCCTGGGGCCTCAGCTCCGGGGAGCTGAGGCACTGCAACTCATGTTACACCCAACAGCTGGACTCTCAGCACAGCTTACATTATCCGCTGACAGAGAAAGGGGTGAATCGCATATGTCCTCCACGAGGCAGATGGATCCTACCGGACACTGGGATCGGCTGAGTTAAGCTCTAGTCTCATCACCCACTCGGCACTCCAGTATAAAGCAAGCGGACTCCATCTAGTTCTACCCAGATGATATGCAAATCGTAATCTATATTTTTCTTTCTGTTATTTTGTATATAGCTGTTATATAGATCTCCTTTTATTTAGTTTACCACCCTGCTGTTTATGCTTAGACATATAACACTGTAAGGCTGCCCAAACTTCAGTGGCTACTATACTCTATAGGTACCCTGCAGCATGTAAATCACCCGTGCTGTGCCTACTAGTAACCAAATGTCGTATTGTCTATAAATCTTCTTAACTTCTGTTTGGTATTATTAGCCAGCTATCTGATTTTTTTCCATCCAGTTGGCAAACATCTCAGGAGTGTCAAACTTTTCCATCCTATCCATCCAGTATACTCTGAGTGAGGTGGGAAAACCCCAGATATATTTCACGTTTCTTTGTCTCAGAATGTTCATATGCTGACTGAAACTTTTACTCGTATAGAAGGATAAATCTGGAGATATCAGCAGATTTTTGAGTTTTTCCTCCAGTACCGGTTTGTTTCTCAGTGAGACCATAATTCTGAACTTGGTATGGTAAGAATGGAATTTGACAATAACAATGACATCTCGCGGGAGGGAGTGTGATATTTTTTTGAGCTCTTGGTGAAAACGGTCCAACAGAAAATCGTGTGATCCTTCTTCAGGTATTAAGCTTTTAAAATATTCAGTGAGAAAATCCTTCTGCATGCTGTTAGAGATAGTTTCCGGGATATTGCGAAGTCTGATATTTGATCTTCTTGAACGGTCCTCCATATCGTTTATCTTGACTTCCAATTGAGCAACCTTAATCTTCATGTCTGAGAATGTCGTCTGTAATTGATTGTATTTTGTATCAATCTGTAAGAAATTTTCCTCTATCATAGACAGTTTTTACTGCATAATTTTTATTTCTTGTTTTAATTCAATAGTGCTGGTCATGATGTCTTCTTTTATACTCTTGGAAAAGTTGATCAGGATCTCTTCTGTTAAAG